TTTTTTTTTTTAATTTTTTTTAATAAAGCAAATCTCTGAACCAATTTCGCTTTAGATAACGTTTAACATTATCAGGAAGAGATGAGGAGGACATGTTGCTGATGAGTGGATTTAGGTGGCTTAATAATTGAACGTGGAAACGTTTGTACTGGTTTTTAGCAAGTTAGTTGACAGTGGGCATTTTAAGGTCTTTATTATGAAGTGATTCATTGGTAATAAACCACGAAAAGTAGTCTGAGTTAGTGAAGTCGTATTTGCCTGTTTACATTTGAATTTTGTATGTTTAGCCCACGTGAGACACTTGTCAAGTATGATTCCTAAGTATTTTGTAGAAGGCTGAACTGGAATTAGTTTGTTATTTATTTGAAGTTGAGTGAATTCTTTAGGACTTAAAGAGAAATTTATTTAGACTGATTTATCTTAATTGATTTTTATTTTTTATTTTTTAGCATAACAATTTGTATGTAATAAATTGTTTGTTCGTGTAAAACATTGGAATTTAAATACAACTCTTTTTATAAGTTTTTTTCACAACTAAAAAATATCTGAAATATATAATCACAATTTTTTTATAAACGTTTAAAGTTTAAATGTTTTCAACATCGTCAAAATCACAAAAAATATGTTAGTTATATTTTAATCGAAACTTTTAATTTGCATTTATAAATTTTTTAAATATAACATAAGATTTTTGTTATTATTCGACAAATATAATCCACAGAAACTTAAAATAGCTACTTTATCACCATTACTTAAATTATTATTTTCTATACCTATACAATGACATTTTCAAAATATTTAGTTAAATTATAACTAACTATTAGGTATATAAATTATTCATTCGTATTACATTAGAAGCAATACGTATTTATAGAAAACAACATTCATTAATAAAGCGTTTAAAATATACAATGTATATTATACATTAAACAAGTTTTGTATGGTAAGATTTCTGTATATAAAAATCATAGATGAAATATGTGTCAGACTCATATTTTATCATTTTTTTTTATGTTGTCTATTATTAGTACACTTATATTATCAATTAAACTATTTTTTTTTTTACATATAGTATAAATAATAATTAAAACGATGTATAAAAAAAAATAAAGGATTTATAATATAACCATGTCTATTAATATCATTAGTACTCGTATATGACATAGATATGTAATAAGTTAATACATTTTAACTCATAATAATTAAAATTACCGTACTTAGAAAATTAAGTAGCCTTGGTATTTGACCTTCGTGAATCGAACTTGGTCACTTAAAAATAAGTGCCTACTTAATAGTAATATCAAACAAACCTCTATAAAAATTACTCTTATTATGTCAATTTATTTGAAGTTAAATATTATATATAAATTATATTATACTCTAAACTTTTAGCCTTAGCGTACACTATATTGTATATTATTTATTTTATAAGTTAAATTTTTGATGTATTTTTCGAAATTAAATACAATTTATACAAGTATAATATTATTTCATAAAGATTTTAGCATTACTCTCTTTGCATCTTATTTCTAGGTTAAGATGTTTAGATTTATACGAGTATAGTGGTAGTTTATTACACAAATGTTACAAATTTGCGATGCTTTCATAACAAATGTTGTTTTCTATGGTAAGGTTGTTAACCCTGCGGTTAACTTCAAACTTGGAGAACCAGTCAAGGTACAAACCAATTAAGGTAGATGTTATTGAAATATACATATTACCTATGTAAAATGGATGAGTGAATGCTAATTAATAGCAATTAAATTTAGCTTTTACTTTTAAGTCTTATATATATTTTTGAACAGCAAACATTTAAAATTTTAAAACCATAAGAAGAAAACGTTTCAGAAACCAAATATTTAAAAATTGAACTTTAAACAATAAGTGAACAGTAGTTAATTAATTATAGTCTATAGATAATTATCAGTTTAAAGATTAGATGGGCGGAGAAATGTGGGAATGTTAGATTAGGTAACCTAAGTTATGATTGAGAATAGCATAATTTTTAAACTTCCCACAGTATGCAATGCCGTAATGGGCTTAAGTTATACTATAAAATTAAAGTATATAATAAAATATAAAAGTTTTCTGCTAGTATTTAAATTATAAGATATTGAAAATGTATTATTCTTATTACGTAGAATAAAAAAATAAAAAATAATTTATCTCTAAGTATATTTTTAACTTAGTAATTGAAAATTACCTTGTCTAATTATTTACTATTTATTATTATTCATTAACGGGTCATCAGGAACATCATGTATACCCAATGTACATATGCAATCGTTTTTTAATTCATACCATATTATTGTAATTTTTTTAAATTAATATGTTGTATAATATAGTTCTATAGCTGTTTTACATAATATCAAATATTCAAGTTCATTCCAATAATGAACACATATTAATTATTATTCTAATGATAATATTGCAGTATTTGTATGCTTGATTGTGTACATTTTCTTTAATATTTTTACATCCCTAAATAAGCCGACAAATTTGCTCAATTATATTAAAAAATTTTGTGATCAATTAGGTATTAATAAAATATTAAGTAAATTAATATTTTGCAGAATAGTTAAGTATCCCTATGCTACTCTTCATTCTGAAAAAATATTTCCAAAAATATTATTTATTATTTTTTAATAAAACAAGTGTTAAACTTGGATGCTTGAGAATATAATTGCTTAATATATACCTAGGATAAATTAGCAAATACCTAGTAGTTATAGTTGTATATTATCTGTATTTCTGTTTAAATAGTTTAATTTTAAAATGTTTAAATCAATGTGTATGATGTATACTGATTATATCAATATATATTAATAAATAATAATTTTTATGTGTATAAGCGAATACAGCCAAGTATATTACTCTCATAATTCTAAAATTTGGTACACATAGTAGGTAGATAGATAGTTATATATTGAGAATGTGTAACTTGAAGTAAAATTTTTAAACTTTGAATTTTAAAGAGGAGCTTACACAACGTTTTTTTTTTTTTGTTTTGTTTAGTAACTCACAAATATTATTTTGTTTGTGTAAAGTTGTCATTGGTTAAAGAAAACACAATTATTATTATATGATTTGTCTATAATTATTTGTCATTTTAGAATCGTATTTTATGCTTAGTCTAAATCATTCAATATACTAAAAATATGTGTAGCTTACATTTTTTTTCAATTTGAAAAATCTATATTAATTAATTAATTAATAAATAAGAAAATAAGAAAATTTGATCAAAAAAACAATTATATGATGATTAAATGATAAGATAAAGTATCCATTGATATTACTCCTAGAGAGGATACATTTGGTACGAACGGATTTGAATGATTATCTAATTTTTTATGGAATCATTTATAGACTTTAGATTCTTGATTGGAGATTTCCAAGTTTAAATTCATTGGAGCTTAAGATAGGATTAATCCATTGGTATAATTACATTTTTTAGGGAAACTTCGTGTTAAATCAACTATAATTGATAAATACAACAAACATGCAAGATCAAAGGTCTAAAACAGATGACTTTTATGCAAAACAATAATTCATCAATAGATTCAACAAAATCGTTTGTGTCATAACTCATAACCTAAATCCATAGTTTACTTTTTACTTTTCAGCACATACATGTTGATCATAGTCAATTCATGAAAAACTATCAATTTTTAATTTTTATATTGTTTAATAATAGAAGGTAGGTAATACCTAACTCTAATTATTATAATATAGAATGTAGATATTTAAATATTATCACAGTTTCCAGTAGGTATATATTGTAGCAACTAGTAATTGATAAAGTTCCTCTCACAAACGTCAAATATCAATTCATAAATGAACCATATTTTTTATGAACTACTGAAGTCTGAAATCGTATCATTCATTAGTCCGAGGAAGTCAAGGGCAATAATTATTCTTTTGTCGGAGGTGAGTTGGAGAGAATCGAAACGAGTGTGTGTTGCGCAGTCGTCACGCATTGTTGACGCAGCAATGGCGTATATATACGATTTATTGTAACTTAATACTTAATAGGTAATACTATAATGTGATGAATAATGTGTAGGTACGCATCAGAATCGTCAGATAAAATCATAGAAAATTTTTTGTGATGTGCAATAGAACCGCATTTTTTGCTCACCCATGGTAAACCAAATGAATTGATATTCAATAAGAGTGCTAATAATGCAACGGAAATTTAGAAAAAAAGAACTACCGATATGACATATTGACATGATTTGTCATAACAAGTTCAACTAACATGTAACGTTCCAAAAAAATATTTAACACTGTCGATTTCCAGATTTCCAGTATTATAGGTACCTAGTAACTGTGCTAAGGACCTAAAAAAAAAAAACATATCAAATTATGTTTTTTTTTTATATGAACTTGTGATATAATTCGATTGTATAATATTAAAGTGAATAGTGTAGAGTGATAGTGCATTAGTGTATAATCAAATAAATATTAATTATACAACAAAAATATGAGTACCTATCAAAATATCACGTTATCATAGTAACATGATATTAAAGCATAATTTACTATTTAGTCACAATTGTTGAATTGTGTGACTGTAGTACATTATAGCATCGACTATCGGAATAATGAGTATAACGCCTTTGTAATAAACGTGGTTCTCTCTGAAGTATTACCACCACAAATAAATAAGATAAATATTAAATAATGATAATTGCTATTGTTAAACGATAATAATTAATGTTTAAATTGTTGATCAATAATCATCACAGGATATAGGCGATATAGCGATTAATTATCTTGATTTAATTAAATTCTAAAATGTTAACTGATATCCTTAATTCTTGAACATTACACGTAGGACGTTTTTCTTAAATCGTGGTAACTAGAGAATAATACCATTACTTATAAAAAAAAAAATTTAAAAAATATGATATTATAATGTCCACAATCAACGGTATTACCAATCTTTTTATCTTTATCAATTTCGATGATAAAGTCGCTAATTAGTAATCACAATCGTTTGTCGATCTAAGGATTCTAAATTTCTAAACATAAAATAATATAACCGTGAACGGCGTGAACACCAACAATTCGCCGTGACAGTCAGTGGTCGGCGCAATTACTTCACCTCGTCATTTTCACCGCTCCCACCTCTTCGTAATACCGCGTACGGATCACGAATACCGGTCCGGTACTCCGATCGTCGACCGTCGTGTTTCGTGTACTCGTGTCTATTTCAGTCTGCAATTCCGTTGGTCGTTGCTTGCTGCCCGTTCCCCTCATAACTACGTAATTATTGTAGTCAGTACCTGCTGATATTACGCAGCCAAACCTCTGTTCGTTTGCTAATTCTTGTGCGCTTTGTCGGTAGTCGATATCCGATAACATTATTATAAAATATTATTTTTACAGTCGTGCGTAGGCGTTGTTAGTGTTTTTATTTTCGGTTTTTCACCCGTAACTCGTTCGTATTCGCGATCCACGCTATTCCATCATACCCCTTGCCGCAGTGTAACAAATTGCCCGTAAGTCACGATGAGCGAAAAAGAAGTGAAAAAGTACTCTTTGGCCGAGGTTGCCGCTAATGCAAACGCTACAAATCCGTGGATCGTAATCAACGATTGCGTATACGATGTCACAGAATTCCTAAACGACGTATGTCCACTGCCGTTTTTATAGTTGCGTCCACCTCGGTTATATTTAACCGAGTGCACGTCGTCTGGCCATGTGTTTAATCTATTGTTTAACCCGAGTTTTTGTTTTCGCTTATAGCATCCCGGCGGTGAAGAGGTTCTGTTGGAACAAGCTGGCAAGGATGCAACCGAAGAGTTTGAAGATGTTGGACACTCTAGTGATGCACGCGAAGTCATGCAAAAATACAAGATTGGAGAACTTATAGAAGTAAGTTTCCTTGCCATAAATATATACCATATTGAATATTATGCTGATTGTGATAACTGATAATGTTCTGGTTCCTCTTTGTATGCACATTTTTACTACACACTCAGTATCTAAATTATATTTTATTGATTATGATGACAAATATTGTTTGGTAAATTATATATCAGTTATAATGAGTACTTATCTTGATTTCAAACATAGTGTTTGGTTAGCTGGTTAATTATTAATGGTTATATATCATTCGTAATGTTTGTATGTTGATGTACTAACTTAATTTATTATGTTTTGTAATAAAGTAAACCAGAGACAACGATGCAATAATGGTCCAATATCATATTATTACTAAATTGATTAATATGGGTTTCCGATTGTAATTTTAGATAGACATCTAGATGTCATATATTGAAGTACTTTACTTTCTAGTTTTTAGTTTTACTAATAAGTGTTTGAGATGAATAAGGGTCAATTAACTTTTGTTGTATCACAAGTAAAGGAAGTTCGCCATTCTACTGATAAAAACAACAATAAATAATATAGTTATGTATGTGTAGTTAGATATTACAACTTACTTTTACTGAAAACAAAAACTAATGTATAGATTTGTATGCTGTAGATGTGATAAGGAAAGAATTTTAATTTTAAGTCTATTAGTTTATTTTATAACAGAACTCTTAAATTATATATTCCTATTTATGCCTTTTTTTTTATTTGTTAAAATTATTATAGCATATTAAAATAATTATATACTTTTAATTAACCGATTTAATTTAACCACTTAATGCTTATGACGAAATGTCAGATTTCACAAGCTTCTGGTGTTACTGTATAATTAGCTAATTGTATTTTTCATCTAAAAAACTAGTAAATTATTTATATTTTCAATATAATAATTTTACTTACATAATTGTTTTATTCCAGTAAATGTATTAATAAAAAATTATTAAATTCATATAAATTGTATTAATTGAACAAACAAAATGAACATGTTATTATTAATAATTATTAGGGCTCGGAAGTTGATGACCTTAAAAACAATAAAAAATGTCCTAAAAAAATTACAAATATTAGTTTTATATTAATAAAAATACATTTTTTTAAATATTTTACTCTATGTAAAAAATGTACTATAAAATTAAAAATATGACAAAAATGTCCTTAAAATAGGAAAATTAAAAAAATTAAAAATATTTGTTTTATAAATATCTGTGGTTTAAGTTATCAGCATAATGGTCAATAAGAAACGATAAGAAATAAACTAGTGTGAAATTAGTAAAAATAACTAAAAATGTGGGAAAATGACCTAAAAATCTCAAAAAATGACTTAAAAAGTAATAAACACCAAAAAATGCAAAATAAAAATTAGTTATTTAGATTCACATGCTTATGAAACAGATTTGTGGCCAGGAGAGCATCGTTTAAAAAGTTCTAAAAAAAAAAAATGCAAAATGCATCAACTTCCGAGCTCTAATAATTATCCATTTGAATAAGCTACAAAAAAATTATAGGGAATATAGGCACATTGTAAATATTTATAGCTTATACGTTTATATTTGAATTTTGAGTATGTTAATATTCTTTAAATTTTTTCTTTTGTATTTTTAGCTGTTGCCTGTTAGTATTAATATTTTTGAAACTAAGTAGTTATTTAATTAATCAAACTGTAGTTTTGTATTAATCAAAACTAATGTTTTAATAAATAAAACATCCTTAGTTGTTTTGATTAATTTAAGTCAGAAAATTAACTATATTGTTTAAAAATTAATTTTAATTTTTTAATTACAGGAAGATAAAAAACAAAATAAGAAACCCGTAAAGAAACCAACACCTGCATCATCAAGTGCACCTGGTGATGATTTTAGGTTAGTAAGATGTGTTAAGAAAATAAATTTATGTTTGTGTGTTATATTATTAATTTTTATTATTATACTAAGTGTTTTCTTTAAGAAATATATATAAAAAAGATTTGGAAGTAGACATTTTAATTATTTTTAAAAATTAATATGGATATTTTATTAATAGGTATGCATTTTTATTTACTTAACATAGTTTAAATTTATTGTTAACAAACCACATAATTTGTTGCTCTAATCAAATTAATTTGAAACTATTACTTAATTTTTTTTTTAATAAATAATAAATAAATATGTACTGTACTTGCCTCTTAAATTAAATTCATAATTTTTTTCAATATTGCTATAACTGATAAGTGCTAAATTGAATTAATAGTTCATCTTCTTTTTATAAATTTTATACATTTTTTTATAAGATATTATAATAATTTTTAAAATTAAGAATATTGTAAATAAAAAAAAAAAAATATACTTTTAAAATTCATTACTATATTGTCCTTACTTTGTATGATTTAAAATTATGTGTAGATTATATATCTTTTTATTTCTATTTCAACATGATTATAACATGTTATAACTTACATCTTAGTGTGCATTTTAAATAAATAATTTTTTAGGATCATAGTAGGTTGAGCACATGCAACAATTCAACATAGTACTCTTGTTTACAAGCCTTGGACATAGTTATGTGTGTACAAAATTAAAAATACTAATATGTTTTCACATAAATTATAATTTGCATTTTAAACATTTTGTTAATAATGCCAAATAGGTTTTGCTACTTGCCACCATATTAAAAGTGCTGCGAGTAAAAATTACTAGCTTAATTTTTTTATTAATGAATTTTGTTAATAAAATTTAATTAGCAATTAAATTATGTAAGTTATTTATAATTGATTTTGACAATATATATTTGTGTTTATCTATTAACATACATATTTATTTCAAAATAGTAGGTTAAAAGTTAACCATATAGATTTTATGTAATATTTGAGTATATTATTACTTATTAATTATGATATTATAATAATCAATTAGTTATATTTTATATGTATTATTTAAGCATGAACTGAGTTTAAAAATATCAGTTTTGTCCATTTACTATATACTAGTAAAAACTTATAGTTATTATTACGATAATAACAACATTTCCTGTGGGCTGTGGTGTGGTGTAATGGTATAATTGTAACTGAAGTCTGAAATATTACTGACCTTTTGATTATTCAAATTATTTACTCTTGATTCATACAAATTTATATTTCTTAATACATTATGTGTTCAATAATATTACGAAAGAATTTAAAACTTATGACTGATTAAAATTGCTGTGTTATTTAATAACTAATAATATTGATAACTTAGCACTTTTTTTTTTATTTAATATGGTAATGAATACTTATGATTATAAAATAAAAAATATTTTTTATTTTTAATTAAAAAAAAAAAAATGTTAAATGTTATCAAAATATATAATATATGTTAATTTTATTTTTTATTAAAAGTTAAAGTTTATTTTTATCCATTTTTAGTCCATTATATTAAATTTTCTTGTAATAGTTTGTTTTAATGTATTAAATGTTTTATTTGAAATAAAGGGAAAGACATAAAAAATATTTATTAGAAAAATAATGATAACGTTATTGAAATGACAATAATTTTTCATATTTCATCATTTTAAACTATTAATTATAAGTTATGATATAAATATATTTGTATTATAATAATTCATGTTTTTTTATTTTTTAGTCTTTGGAAATCATGGTTGCTGCCTTTAACAATGGGAGTGCTTGCTATCTTCGTTTACCGATACTTTATTGCTTCATAAAAGATCAAAGTCATTTAAGTTTATCTTAAAAGTTATTATTGTCAACCAAAATTCTGGGTTAACTCACAAATATTGTCTTGTGTATTTTGTAAATGTCAATCATTAAACTACATTCCATTCTGTGTTTGCTGTTTACACAATGTTTTCATTAATACAATCACAAAACATGAAAGATTTTTATAGTTTGAAAACTATTAAACCTAAATATTACAGTTAATATATAACCAATTAAACATACATATTATAATGGTTAGACATGGTAGAAATTAGTAATTCTTGGAATTTAGTATTATTAATGTTTGAATGTTTAAAAAAAAATATATACATACTTAAAGAAAATAAATATTGTGTTTTAAATATTTTCTATATAATATAAAAAAACTACTTCAAATTCATTGGTCTTTATACTTCTAATGATCAACTATTAATATTAATATAGTTAATATTAGACAATTTTATAATTTATTTTAAAGAAGTTATAAGTCATAATTAATTATGTAAACTTGCAATATCTATAATTGATGATTAATAAAGATTGTTAATCCCAGATTGACGAATAAAGAAGACAGTACAACTTGTTCATAATGCTATTAAACCAAGGCAACACTTAAAGATTTTGGGTTAGATATAAATAAATTAGGTAGCTGTAAATTATTTTTATAAATTAAAGTTAATAATCATTAATAATAAATTGAATTTATTATGATCTGCAGATTTTCATAAAAAACATTTATATATAATATAGTTTTATTCTGTTAAAATGTGAATCTTATACATTTTATTTATACAATTTAAATCTCATTTTAATATTATCATAAAATTATATGTTAATGTATGTTAGTTCATACCAAGCTTTTCCATTAACTTATTAATTTTATTTTATTAAACTAAATTAAAATTGTAGGAAAAGATTTCTAAAATCATTTTTATTTGAACTTTGAGTTTTCAGTTTTTAGTTTGAAAAGGACGAAAGAGAAGAGGAAATTTTGTTTCCATAAAATTGTAATCTAGAGTTCAATAAGTAAGTAGCTGATCCTTAGTTTTAGCTTAAAACTTACCAATGTAAAATTCAAGATTTTGTTTTTATGAATCAAAATTATAGTATTTGTTATTTATTTTAAAATTTAATTAAAAGTAATTATAATATTTCAACATTCTTCCAAGAATTTCTAAGAGTTTAGGAAGGCAAGAATACTGAATTGTTTTAGTATACACAGATGGTAAATATATTAATAAAATTATGGTTATCTTACATATTTTAATTATAAAAATCGATTAGATGTAAGGAACATAAAATGTAAAGTAACTTTTAAGTCATTTTTAACAAAATTTAAGTAAAGCTACAGTTAGCAGTAATGCTTGGAAGAGAGAATGACCAGGTAGCAGTGATGCAAACAGGGAGGGTCCCTGGATACGGCCCTTCTTGAATCGTTTTGTATCTTTCTAAAATACCGTAATTTTATTGTTACAGCAGTAAACACATTACCTTTATTTTTTACATTTAATTATCATTCAATTTTACATTATAATTACAATGTTTATATTAATCAAAAAATAAAACAATAATTAAATTTGCTTGCTACTTTTAAGTAATTATTTTTTTGGCCCCTCCCCTTAAAAAATCTTGGTCGCGCCACTGCCAGGTAGTGCATCTGCAGAGTGGTTGATTTGGCTGGTAGCGATGTTGGTAGTGATGCATACAAAAAAGAATGAACTGTATTTTCATGGTCATTGTTTAGTAGAGTGGGAGGATGTGGAGTGAAAGTTTCAGATAGCTGGTTTGCAAAGATATTTGCTTTTTCGATGTCGGATGTCGCTAATTCGTTGTTTGGGCATATAAGTGGAGGTATAGTATCACGTTGGTTTATTAATGCTTTGGTGGTACGCCAGATCGAGCCATCAGGTGGAGTTGGGGATTCTAGATGATATTCAAATTGAGTGGATCTATGTTTGGATAATTCAGTTTTTAGAGTATTTGTTAGCTGGTTAAAATGGTTAAATACAATTTTGTCAGTTGGATATCTTGAATTTTGCCAGGTGGCTTTAGCTCTACGCTTGGCTTTTATTAGTTCTTTAATATACATTGGAAGTGTGTTCAATTGTTTATTTTGTTTTCAAGGATTTGGAGTTTCTGAAGTTGAGGACGTAGAGATTGAGTTTTGTATAGCAGAAGTTAATTTGTTTACAGTGTTATTTATTTGAACGTGTGTTTTTAATGGGATATTTAGTGATATTAGTTTATCTAAATTATATTGGAATAGATCCCAATCCGTGGGACCAGAACTCAGTCTGCCTGGTGTTGAGTTCTGGTACTGCCCCACTGGTTAGAAGTACTGGAGTATGATCACTAGATAGTTTATTTAAGTTTTTAATGTGTGTATTGAGATGTCTCGGAATTTTTGTTAAGAAAAAATCTAATATATCAGGTAGTCCGTTCGTATAGATAGGTGGTTATCCAATAGGTGGGCGTATCAGGAGAAATAAAATTAATATTGTTTTTTAAAATAGAATTGTGTAGTATTCGTCCGCGCGTGTTCGTGTATCGACTACCCCAACTGATATGTTTCGAGTTAAAATCGCCTCCAATGATAAAAGAGCTACCTAGCTTTTGAAAAAACGATTGTAGTTTAGGTTCTGAAATAAAAAGAGAGTAATAACTAATAATGTTTATTATACTATAATATTATGATTTATTTTCAGTCTTATTAGCAGGGCTCGGAAGTTATAGCACTAAAAAAATTAATTTTAGCGCTTAAATATGCATATAAAAACATTAATATAAGCGGTATAAATAGCACTAAAAATTGGAAAAAATGTTCAATTTTAAATATGAAATTTAAACACGAGAGGATGTTTAACAGTTTATGATCAATCGAACATGGCACACACGACACACCTAAATGACGACGGAACACTAAAATAAAATTACCGTGTTCAGTCATTGGTATATGGTTAATACGACAGCACGATAATACAACGAATCCGATGATAGTGCGGTAGAACGATGTGACTGACACGATTTTAAAAATAAACAATTCATTGGAAACAAACGGAATTGCTCAATTGTCCGATTTAATCGACGATAACTGTCTAAAGGCTCGAGCACATAGAATGTGGTTTGTGTTGCGGCAGGCCGTGATATCGTATAAGACAGACCGCGTTTTAAAAATATGCACATAAACAGCATTTATAACTCCAAATCAGCAAAATAGCTCTTATGATAAGAATTTATGTGAAAATATACCTAAAAATAGTACTAAAAACCTAAAATTAGCAAAATAGTAGTAAAAACCGTAAATATGCAAAAAATAGCAAAATTAAAAAATTTCGTGTATGATATCAGAAAAGTGTGAGACATATTTGTATCTTACTTTGGATGTTCTAGGACGAACCAAAAAAAAATATGCATTTGCTAGAAGTTCCGAGCCCTGCTTATTAGTTACTATACGTAATATGCAGTAATTTTCCAAAAATCTGGAGGAAAAAAAGGAGACCTTCTTAAACATAACATTAAATAATTATTAAATATTGATGCTAGAAGCTAACAAAAAAAATATTTATAAAAACGATGAAATTGTTTTTCTATATAAAAAATTATTTAAACCTTAGCATGATATTTAAAATTTATATTTTCAAGACTTTGTTTGATAAAAAAAAAAAAACAAATTTCCAATGAATTTTTAATGCTAGTATTTATTTTATTTATGAGCTTATGAATTACGATGTTAACTTCACAAGACACAAGTGGACATTCACATTATCATTTAATATTTATCATTGTTATTTGTTATAATTATTTAATTCCCTGAACGGTGCGCTCCCTGGTGGCGGCTGTGGTAGGTACATTTAATCGTGCGATCACGGCCACACTGTTTCCCGGTGTAAACAACAACAACACAGCAAGTTAACCATACATTTTCTTGGCCGCCTTTTCGACAATATTTTTTCGGAGCCAAAACTCGATTTTTATCAGTCTTCTACGGGAACGGGTTTTTCGCGGTCTAAACAAATTATTGGCGAGTAATTGTGTCTGTTCTCGTTTTTGGTTCTTCCGAAGAGATCAATCGCACTCGCACACGCTATCACATACACACCTGCGCTCCTTCGCACACATCTACAACCGACTGTACTATGATGGCAGCGAATTCGGATACTTTTGTAACCAGTAGCAGTAAAAACAACAATGATTTTACCGGCGAGACGTCCGATCAAAGTGGGTAGAAATGACGTGTAGTGTTTTTGTTTAGTCGTACGATAATGTTATTTAATTGTTAACGTGTTTACAGAGGTTCCGATGAAGGATGAGTCGTTCAAGAAGTTACGTGAGACATTTGTCATCAAAAGTAAAATTGGCGCCGGTACGTTCAGTAAGGTATATTTGGCGTATGCAAGGGGCGATGCCGAGAAGAAACGATATGCCATCAAGCACATCAAGCAAACAACACACCCAGAGAAGTTACGTCGCGAAATTTTTTGTCTACTCAAGATCGGGTGAGAAGAGATTATTTTTTTTCTTAGATAACCATTTCTTCCTATATTGGTTTGTGCATGAATTGCGAATAAGTGTTATTTGTTGATCAGTTGGTTAAAAAAATATCAAGAATGTTTTTACTACAGTCTACTATCGCCATATGAGTTATGATTTTTAGTATAATATTATGTTAATTATATTCATTTGACCTGATTAAGAGTTAAATTTGATTAATCATTGATCATACACATTATTTTTACCTTTAGATTAATTATTAATCAAACTGAATGTTTTTGTATTTATGTAAACCATAATATATATTTTTCTAAGTTTATATCATTAATAATTTTTCTATTTATTTTCAGGGGACAAGATAATGTTATGGGATTAGTAACCTCATTGCGAATTGGAAGTTCTGTTTGCTTGGTTATGCCTTATTTCAAACATGATCATCCATTGGTAATTAATATTTCTAAAGATTGTATGATGTATATTAATGTATAAATAAAGTTAATAATAGTTTTGTATTCTATATCTTATTATTAGATAATTAAATATTTATTGATTTTCAGACCTATTTATGCACAATGGATGCTAATGAAATGCGATTTTACATTAAAAACTTATTGATTGCATTAAAAAGGATACATTCTTTTAATATTGTTCACAGAGATGTGAAACCCAGCAATTTTTTGTATAACCGTTCTACTTCAACGTAAGTAATAATAATTTTTTTTTTAATTTGGCATATTAATTTTATTTGTGATTTTATTTTTTTTTAATTTTGTAGTTTCATGCTCACTGATTTTGGACTTGCTCACCCTAACATTAACCCTACTAGACGTAAAGAAATAAAAAGTCTGCCTGATAATAAGTCTGATAAGTCTGATATGTTCTCTCATAAACAAAATAGTTCAAGCTATAATCTCGATGTAAGATATTTCTTGATTTTTATGTTAATTATATAAAAATTATAATGTTATTGATACTAAAATTTGTTTTTAAATTATTTTAGGTTAACCATAAACGATCAAGTTCAGTAGGAAACATACGATTAAGTTCATATCAGAAACGTATTCTTCAAAACATAGCGGATGACACCAACTCTATACCTCATGGATGTAATTTAAAGAAAAGAACTAAACTAATGATGCCTAAAGAGCCATTATTAAAGGAAAATTCACCTATTAAAAAACAATTAGATGTTCCTAAGAATAATAATCCTAGTAATCCAAGTGCTATGATTAATTTATTTCATGTTAGTTTATTGCTTACTTAGATAACTCTTAAGAATTTTTGTGTAATTTTTAGTTAATTTATTGTGCTTTTTTGTACATAGGAGAAAAATAATTTTGCTGTTCCTAAAGTGCAACGCCTTACATGTGATTGTGTAGGGAAATTAAAAGTATGTAATATTTGTATAAAAAGACCGGAAATGAAAGCTCCTCGAGCAGGAACACCAGGATTTCGAGCTCCTGAAGTTCTCTTAAAATACAAATATCAAAATACTGGTAAGTGGTGAAGAAAAATTTAATATAAATAACTTTTGATCCAATAAAAATGTCTAAAATTAAATGATAATTTTTTAAGAATTTGATATGTTTCTAGCTCTTGATATCTGGTCAGTTGGAGTTATAATGTTGATTGCTATGAGCCGCTGTTATCCTTTCTTTAGTGCAGAAAATGATTCTACATGTTTGGCTGAAATGATAACTGTTTTTGGGGATAGGGCTATTAAAAATTTAGCCAAAATGTTAGGTCAGTTAAAATATTTAAAATATATATTATATATTTTTTTAATTATTTTATTTATTTTTACATCAGGTCGTAATGTAATTTGTGAAGTTCAAAAACCTCCTCTTGATCTTCGAGCAATTTGTCGTCTTTTGTGTCATCGATCAAGTGTACAAATTTTAAATCCAACTGCTGTTTCTTCAAGTGATGGTTTAGAAACCTGTAGTTTTTGTACAAAACCAATACAACTATCTGGCTGTGAAGTTTTTTCAGATAGTTGTAGTTGTTACTTAAATGTTGCTGATGATTTTCCTTATCCTGCATATGATCTCTTAAAAAAATTGTTATGTTTGAATCCAGTGACACGAATAACAGCCGATATTGCTTTGAAACATCCATTCTTTAAAATGAATGAGAAGAAAATTTAAATCCTTAAAAACTTTATTATTTTAGTTAACTCTGTTTTTTATATATTCAATTTAAATTTTTAATCGTACCTTTTGCAAAATGTAAAATTATTCAACTTCAATTTGTAAAAGAAATCCATCATTAAATTAGATTCATATGAACAAATTGTGTAAAAAAATTGAATTAATATTGTGTAGTTATTCCTTTTCATTAATTTCCATTTTTTTATTTCTAATTGTATTAACATTTAATTTGAATCAATTTTAATTGAGGTATGTTTAGTTTTTATATTGTATTGATGTCTATGTATAGTGGTAAGTATTAGATTTAAGGAAAACCTAGTCATGCTTTCTATTATTTTTAATTTAATATTTGATTTATACAAACATAACCTAAAATTTTTAAATGTATATATTATACATTTAACTTTGAACATTGTACATAAAATATTATAAATTAATGAAGTAATGCAACTTTATTCAAATCAAACTTAAAATTGACATTTTTTATATTTTGTGAATTGAAATTTAAAAAAATGTAATCAACGTTTATAAAATCATCTTCAAATAGTTGTAACTGGTGCTAGGATTTATGTTATATACAATAGTAAGATATGTATTTCAGTTTGTTATAGTATGCTAAAATATTCAATAAAAATATATTATTAAGTAACCAATATTTTTCAAATATAAAGTGAAAGAATTTTATAAAAAAATCATCTTATAATTTCATGATGAATTGAAAAAATCTACTTTTTATGTAATCAATTTAATTTTTGTTCCTCTTACTCTAAAATAAACAATAATAAATTATTTAATTTATTTTTAAAATATGCAATTATTAACTATTATATTTGAAACAATCAAAGTAACAATAGATCATGCTTATCAATATAAGGTAATTCATTGATATAACTAAATTATTATAATAACAATGCATAAAAAAAAAAAAAAATCATTGAGTAATTTAAATCCTAGTTCTAGTTGTAATCAATAGGTATTTTATTTTATTTTTAAGATCATTGAAGCATAGATTTAATCATGTTTTTAATTAACAGTTTGTTCAAAATACAATTATAATTTATTAATATCTAATACTTGAAACCAATAAGATGATTATATTTTTAATGTTTTATAATCAAAATTAAGATTATAACTTTATTTGTTGATTCCATTGACCATATTTAGTAGATAGTTAAATTATTTTTATTGTTTAAAATAACTATTATTTTTTTTTTAAATTACTATTATCATACTGTGTTACTGCTTATTTAAGTTATATTTGTTATTAATTTAAAATGTTCATACTTAGTTAAAAATGTATTTAAATGTAGTTAATTGTTGATAATTGATAAGTTAGTATTTGGTTTGTAAAATTGAATGTTTTGTTTGTATTAGGTTGTTAGGTATTTCTAATGATATGTAAGCGTATTATTTAAGTATTGTATATTGCATCAACATTTTCTAGTCTATAACAATGCTAAGTCTATGTAATTGAAATTGTATTTATAAAGTTCAGGGTTTAAACATGTTTAAATTGTTTGAAACAAATATACTTTTGTTGTAAACGCTAAGTGTTTAAACCTTGAACAGAAATCGATTGAACTGATTTTTTTAACTTTTTTTTTATTGTTTGTTTTTGTAAAGTTGAAATAATATTCATTTTATCCTTTTGATAAGTAGCATATTCTGTATATTACAGCCGTTATGTGGGATTTGTAACTATGATAAGGGTAAAAATTAAAAGACTGTTCAATTTAAATGTTTAATTACTTATGGTATTGAGGTGTGGTTATTTTTTACTGTGCTGACATGAATCACGATAAATACATTATTAATGTAGTTTCATTATTATAAAGAACTATTTTATTTTTGTCATTCTTGTCATGATGTATAGTATATAACATACTGAATAGTCATAAATGAGTTATTTTAGTTATAATTTAATTGGTATTTGAAACAATTGATCCAATAAATTAATTTATTCTGTTTTATTTTAGTCAAGAATACTTTTTTGTTTGTATTTGTTTTTTATTTTATTTTGGTGTGCGAGTGTATTGTATTTATAATACCTATTTATTAGAAATGTATTTGTCCATTATTCTGTTCAATAGTCAATAGTTACCATTCATAAATAAATTACTTTTTAATTGTTAAATTATTCATAATATACCGGCATTGTAGTCATGAAAATGTATCCATTAGTTATTAGTTATTACCTATTTTATGTTCAATGTAGTAGTATTAATGTTTTTTTTATAAATATTGAAATAAACCAAACTTACATAAAAAATCATTTCTTTTGATTTTAATCACAGAAATGAACTTACAGTTAGGTGTTGTATTTAAGCTTAAATTCGATAAATTCACAGAACAAATTTTAGAGTTTAGATTAAATTTATAAAACTACTATTGAACAATAGTTTCCAGCTATATTATTTTATTAACATTTTTTTTTTTACAGTTCTGCATTTTTGGTGTGCAATTGGCTTGGTGCGTTTCCTATTGTATACAATAAAAGCAGTAAGTTGTTCTCAACGTCAAAATGTGGACTGTTAATTGTTTTCGTACATGTCGCGATTGTTGTACTACAAATATACACGCATTTGACGATGATATTTTTTGGTACTATAAAGAAAACGTCGGTTGTCACGTCTATCGTGTTAAGCACCAACGGGATCGGGTTGCTGTGCATCTTACTGAGAAGAATGATGTTTGTGAGTGACACAGTTAGATGTTACAATAGCTTGTCTGAATGGTCAGCTGACATTTCGGTACCGAAATCGTCAATTGTAATTATGTATGCCAGTATAGTGTCAGTGCTAATTGAATTCGTTGGAGATATTATAGATAGGTATGTAACGGTGTTACGTCATTATTTTTGGATAGATATAAATATTTTTTTTAACTATTTAAAAACCAATTTATTGTAATTATTCGTGTAATTATAATTTATAACATGTTAATAAAGAATTCTTTCGATTTATCTTCAGCATACAAATTTACAATTTTAAAACTTTTCTGAATCAAAATCTACAGTTTTATTACGTATTTAAATTGATTTATAAATTCGTTATACCTTGTTTGTAAAAATTAAGCATACACTTAAATAGCTATTTAAAAATTCACTTCAAAATTTTAAGAGGTTTCCACATTCCTCTCGTTACCTATCACAATAAACCAACTGTAAATTTTTATTGTTGGATTTATCTTATTTTATTATAAGTTATAACTATATCTAGAAGTAAAACAAAAAGAAAAATACAAAAAATGAAAATGTTTTAATGTACTTACTTATGTAAATATTGTTTTATAATTTGCAAATTATTAATCTATATGTGATTGCTTGAATAGGTAAGCCAAATTAGTTTTTGTTTAAAAATGAGCTTCAATGATTTTTTCATGTTTATTCTGGGAAGAAAAATATGGAAGTTATCACTAAGATAGGGAAATATCCAAAATTGGGGAAGGGGATGGATAATATTCAGCACTTGCAGATCTTACTCGTTTCAAAAACGATGTACTTACATTGCATATTATATTATATTTTATATGTATATAGTATATACATTACTTATATAATACTGATTACTATTATTATTCATAGCGTTAAAAATGTTTTTGCAAATTTAGATACATGAAAAATAAGTCCGTGAACTTGGACAACATTACTACCTATGCGTTTTTGGGCTTCGAAATGCAACTGATACACACTTTCTACGCTATCGGTCGATTGTACAATGATTTGAACAACTTCGTCAAATTTGACTTACTCGATGACTTCGAACGGATTCGTCAAGCTCGACAACGGAATCTCGTATTATACACGTTTTGCAAAAAGTTCAACTCGCATTACAATTTGGATTTGATTATACTTTTGTCATGCTATCAGCTGTATGTGCTTTTGGTACTGTTTAAGCTCATAAATAGCCTGGCCACAAGTATTGCGACCGAAAAGTAAATTGTATAACTCGCACATTAACGGATATTATACTTAATATACAAATATAATTATATTGCTGTGATTTGCTATTGTAGTTTGATTCGCTGTAGCATGCGTTTTTGTCTGTGATCTGATTACCGAGTAGCAATCGCTTCTTTAATATAACGGTATAAATAATATGTAATGAATTCGCCAGTCGCCTTGTTCAAACCTTTAAAAGTATGCGTCATAATTGTATTATGATATTGATGCACTTCGCTTGTACAATTATTATGTAATCACATTTAATAAATAAATTATAGAACAATAGTTTCTTTGTTGAATCTAGGTTTTAAACTATTAATAGTTAGTAATTATTATGTTTTAGTTTTTTTTACAACTTTGTTAACTTGAAAGTTATCATCAGAATAATACGAATGACAAGATTATTTATGGTTTTCATCTACATAATAGAGTCAAGTTCTTATTTACATAATAAGGTAATTTATTTTTTAAATTATTATTAACTTTAATAATTTAATCTATATTCTATAAAATACCTAATATAATGGTATAAAACGATTTTGAGTGAGACTCGTTTGAAAGTAACTGAAAAAAATCAATTTTTTAAATTGCTCATAATATGAATAAATAAATAATATACTTATTTCCATATGCGTAGTTTGGGGGAAGGCTTGGAGGGGGGCTTAGCCTCCTCCATTTTGGAAAATAGTTTACTTAAAATGCAGACGAAGCCTTCCACGAGTCGGTATATGTCTACCCCCGGAAGATAACAGCCTCCTCAAAAATTCTTACCACCCTACGCCTATACTTTACCATTGATATTTTAGAATTATCAAAATATCATAAATTGGAGCGTTTTTCCACGGGGTTTTTTTGTGCAACACGCATTAAATGAAAATAGGGTAAGCATTAAAGTATAAGGTAAATGGTGACATAATTTTCTACCCAAAATAATGATTATAGGTATAAAAAATAAATAAATATTACCTACTTCATGTTATCATGTTATACTTGTTAGCTTAGTAACTTAAAAAACGTGTTTTTAGTATTGCATTTGAGTAATTTGATTATTTGCTTGTTTAGAGCGTTTTTACATTTTATCATTTATTACGCAATAGAGTGAATTGTCGGAAGCATCAAACCAAAGAACAGGTAACTTATTGAATCTTAATGTAATTCATAATCCTTGGTAGATTATTTTTTAACTTTTACACATGTAAATAATAGAATAAATCAAGTTGGTATAATATTTTAAAGCAATAGCATTTTCACGTAAACTAATAACTTTAAATAATATGTATTTATAATAAACTAGTTATTTTCCGCAGCTTCATTGAAATATTAATAGTTTTGTTATGACGAGTAAGAAAGCTATATAGTTAATGTTAAGCGTGTTTCGTAGATTACGTTGACATTTTAAGTAAATTTGACAATAAAATTCTGATTTCCTATAAAAACTTTCAACCCTTTTTCATTTCTTTAGAGGTTAAATTTCTTAGAACCCCTTTTTAAATTATGCCTATATTATAAAATCAATACCTTCTCTAAATCTCCAATTTCTATCAAAGATCTTTCAATAATATTGAGTGGTTATTAATCCTTAAGCTCCTTAGGGATTAATCAGGGCCGATTTATGAATATTTTGCTGCTCATAGTCTATATTACATTTGTTTCTTAATTTAACGTATTGATATTTTATTTCAAAAAGGCATTACTATATTTATTAATATGTTATGCTAAATTGCTAAATATAGATTAGGTTAGGTACCATTTTATTAACGTATCAATTAATAATATTTGGCTTGTTGTCTTTTATCGTGAATATTTCCACACATAATTAATAAAAGTTTTAAAATGAATTCAGATATGGGTTCAAGTGTTTATTAGCGGGATACAACTTACTATGAGTATAACTATGATAATATAATATATACAATATACTATATACCTATATAACTATTACAGAGATTTATTTTGAACACTTGATATTGCTTTAACTTAATCGGTAATACAGCTATGGGGTTAACTAATAAAAAAGAGCTTACGTCGTGTTTATTAGCGTTCAAGTTATCTTCATATCAAATTTCCAAAAAAAAGGTTCAGGGATTTATTAGTTTTTTGCATTTATTATACGTCATAACTCATAAATCATAATACATAATATTATAAAATAAAATATTTTAATTTAAAGTGTTATTTAGTCCATGTAGGTTGTATACTTAAATATTATATTGTCTATCTATATTCATATAAATAGGACTTTATTATTGAATTAGTTTTATAATATTTATTAGGTGCATTATAGGTAACATTTCAAACATAAAGTATGTAGTAGTTATCCTTGACCTTAAGGCACGTCTTGAAGTAAGTAAGTATACTTTATAGCAATGATTTGGTGAGCGCATAAACTTTTATGTATTTATAAACCAACCTTGATTATATTATGGGTCGTGAGCCGAGATATAACTATTGAGCTTAAATAAGTGACTGAGTGATCGATATAAACGTGGAATAAGGAATTATAATATTAATATAATCATACACATAGTATAGTTTATACTGCCACGAGAGCCTTCAATCGTGCATCTTATTTGAATTTACAATAAATAAGTCGATCAGGTACATAACTATGATAGCTCAGACATTCAGTTTAAGTATGTTTTTAATCAAAATACAATTTTAACTAACATAAATAACAATAAATTATAGTATACTAAAGTGTCGCGGTGTGATTGGTCCTTCTGATATTATACATATTATGTATGAAACCTACAAACTTTAAATTAAATTTGTTTATTATCATCTTTATTATTATACTTATTATAATAGAGTTTTACTTAAATAATAATAGAATTTCATATAAATAATAAAAATAAATGTTATTTTGTAAGTTCATTAATTAAGTAAATTTAATGTATACTCGTATATCATTAATAATTTTTATTACCTAAACGAATTATGTTCTTTTATGAATTTATGATTGGAAAATGTTGATTATGCAAACAATTATTATTATTATGTTCTGTATTTTCTTTATTAATAAAAATATATATAATTAAATAAATAATTTATTTTTATTTTTACAGGTTTATTTGTTTTTAAATGAACTAAATGTTACAGAAGTAAATATATCAGCCAACCATTGCTATGACGTAAATAAAAAGTTCCTGTACTCTGTAAGTTTTACAAGTTACAATATTCCACAGTTTTCATGAATAAATTCATAAATCATAACTTAATATTAAGCGTTATGTCAACAATTTAATATTTTAAGACTTAAGTTCATAGTTTAGTAGTAAAAAATTAAATGAAACAATATAATATTTTAAAATTGATGTTTATTTCACTTTGACGACTTTGCCATAAAAGTTGCATAAATATAAGTTAAAATATCTAATAATTAAAAAATAGAGCACATTTATAATATTAATACATGTTTATCACTACAATTTCTATCATGAATGATTAGCAATTAATATTTATTTAAATGAATCAAATAAATGTCAGCTTTTTTAGCTTTATTACTTTCAAAAAGTATAAATTACAAAAGTTTTTATAAATGTATTTTACTGAAAATGATTGCAATATTGTACTTATAATATATTGATTTATGATTAACTGTTATTTAAAATCAATGATATTATTACGATTTAACATTTAGCATGAAGGTTGTTAAATTATTATATTAGAATATAATATAATTTTACATTTTTAATGTATAAATTACTTACTTTAAGTGATTTAATGATTAATGATGTGTATAGAACATTAATTAAGACATTTAACAATACTATTTTTTTTTTTTGTTCTTACAGGTATTTAGTTCCATTATTGGGTTTATCATATTGGTTGTATCTTTTTTGTGTAATCGATTCTAAAATTTTACGTGCACATTCATTTTAATGTTATAAGAGTAATAAGAGTATTTTTTTTTCTTACATAATATATGTAAAAATGTTTTAGCATCATCAACTAAAGTTTATATAATTACACAATTATTTAAATTTATAATTACTTATGAATATGAGATACATATTAGTTGATGGAATTTTGTTTCGTTAACATTGTTCGAGAAAGTATATATATATTACATAAAACTGTATGTTGATTTCAATATTATTGTGTTCTTTTTCAGAACTTCAGATAACAAGTTCTTAATATTACATGCATAATTCCTATTACATATATATATATATATATGCTTAACTAACTGTAGATAATCCTCTTTGATGCGTTCCTTTTAAGAACAAACATTTGGTATGACCTCATAGTAATTTTATAGTTATAGATTAATTATAAGTTAATTCTTTGTTTGGTACGTTATAGGTACATATTATATAATTATTTATTATACATATAGATATATAGCCATATAGGTAGGTATACAATTTTATTTTAATTTAAAATAATAGTTATAAAGTACGTTATATCAAATTAAGTATAGGTAGTGTAAAACCGATTTATGATTGTGTTTTATAATGTTTGATATATTTTTTTTTTCAGTGAGTGTTTAATGTTTTATTTAATGATCTCTTAAATTTTTCGTTTTAATTAAGTTCAACATTTTAATCATTTTTTGCTAAATTCTGTGTATCTTTAAGTGTATTATTTTCATTATTATATAAGTTTCATAGATTAAAAATATTTTTTAACAATTGAAATAGATTTATAAAACACTAAGCGCTAAAAGAGTTTAAGTCGAAATCAATTGGCTGTAAAATATGAACGTGACTACGGAACCACTCGTATACCTATAATAATAATTCATAATATTACTATAATAGTGTTGGTAGAACATTGTTTGCGAAAAAAAGATAAACTTTTTTTGTAGAACCCTTTTGTATTATTCCACTCCACTCGTCAATATTTTAAATAACTGAAATTTATAAAATTATTCGTCAAACTATTTGATTTTTATGTATCGAGGTATTTTAAAAAATATTTGGTTTTGCAAAAAGGAATTAAAAAAGGATATTTTCATTGAAAATGTTAAAAGAATGGTAACGATTAAACAGTAAAATAAATGTATATCACTTAAAAAACGTTGTTTTTAAAATTATACAAAATTTTTTTTTTTTAATTAGGCTAATAGATAGTTTTTGAAATAAGGAGTGTCTTACATTAAATGTATCACTCGGCATATATTAATACATCATAACTATTTGCCGACTTAAACTGAAAATATATAAAAAACGAATTATTTAAGAAAATATTGTGATGGATATTATGTGATTCTTGGTGTTAGTTTAGAATAATTTTCAAGCGGCTGAGCTTCCTGTATTAAAAATTAAAATTAATGCGATTCGTGTCTCTGTAGTGCTGTATAATATTTTTAATTTCGATCTAAATGCTTGGATCCCGCCGTTGTGTTAATGGAAGTTGTACACGTATGCAATACAATTACGGAAACGTTGAAAATCTCATCATTTTTATCTCGTACGCGTCGCTTGAGTCATAGAAATTAATTTAAGCTACTGGTCCATGGCGTGATTGAGGAATTGAGAGAGAGCGAGAGAGTGAGTTAGAGTCGTCAACAAAGAATACTATTGGGCTGGTTTTTATGATAAGACACTAAACATCAAATACTGTTGAAAAAAAACACGTGGTAGCCGTGGCGTATGGCTATTTAGTATTTACTATTTACTAATCGTGGATTTGTAGCGACGTAGTCGTATGTTTTTACAGTATTTATATTTTACACATTTTACACACCATGCACAATACAATTGACGTGTCGGTATTCGTACCCATTTAGCAGTAAACAGTAATAGTATTTTTTTTATTGTAAATCAATCATAAAAGCATTATGTTTATCAGAGATAGTATTTAAAAAGCGATTATTTTATCATTAAGCATTACCTACAGTAAAATGTACGCGTTTTAGAAATATATATTTCTATACGTGATTTCAAGTCATTGCAAATTTACATGAAAAATAATTCTATATTTCACCACTTCTTATCGACATTATTTTCAAATTTAAAGTATCTATAATTTTCAAGTTTAGTCTCGTGAATAGTATCCGTGTACAACGCATCAATAGTTTGCCTCTCCGCTCTAAAATGTAAAACATGTTTATAAGTCATTACTAATTATTGTATACAATATCATAGTGACAACCAGTTGCTCGATATTCGTATTTTGCCTATCAAAATGCTCAGAAAAATATTCTTCTTCGGAGTATGAAATTAAAAATAAATATTAACGTGGTAATTTAACGTAGTATCATCATTGGATAAACGGAGAGGTATGATGATAACGATTATAGGATAGAAGGTTTTGTTTTCATCAAAAGTCTGTCATATTGGCGAATGACGAGTAAATACCGTGGAACATTCGAATAACGACTTTATTAAAAAACGTACAAAGTCATACTGAGTCGAGAATTAATTTGATTGTTTATACCGATTGAAGAATTGCTCTGTATAATATTATTATAATATCGTGTATGCGTCGCGCACGTAAATATAGACGCAGGAGCCGCAGCTGTGTTAAATAGCGCGACCGCGTCGTAGAGAGGTCTTGCCACGGCGGCGCCGATAGGTATACATGCACAATAGCCACTATGTGAGTAGGCCATGCCATTCATCGCAGTGCGCGCGACCGCGAATGGTTCACGGCCGTTTTCACATCAATCGATTTCCGTTAACGTATTATAACAACAGTCACATCAATCGATAATAAAAATTTTAACGAAATATCGTCCGCCGTTGACCGAATTTCTTGCTTTAGTACAAAATAATATATAACGTGCGCATGGTTTTCAGTTTTCGATTCCCGTTTAGTTTTCTCCATTTGTTTTCTTCATATTCCGACTACGGCGACAACGGCATTCCGCGATTTTGCCGGAACGTGACATCGGCTTCTCGATCGCTGCTGTAGCAGTCGTTGGTAACTATTATATTAATATTATAAATCCACGAAATCGCGATTCACGCCGCATCGCGACATACAGCCGATATAATAACTCATAACATTATACAGACGTCAACCGTATTATAATCAACTGTATCTATCACAAATATCGCAAAGATTTAGTATAATACCTTTACGTTGCACCTGCAGGTCTATATAATATAATATTGTCGCGGTGTATCAGCAACTGCAGGAGCAGGACTATGGCAATAAACGAAGCGCGTGCGCCGACGTACGTTGCTGTTATATTGATTGGCGGCACCCGGCTGCCGTTCAAAAATAAATTAGCATGTGCTAGGCACGATGCCGCAGCGTATTTAATAATTTACTGCTGTAATATTATTTGGCGACTGTATTATATCTCTTGTAATCGTACGTCGCAACGAGTTTGAGTATCCAATGGTCACGCGCACATTTGCTTTTTTACATACATAGTTGCTTGTCTATTTAAAGCAGCACCGCCGTAACATGAGCAGGTTAACTATGATTTTTATTTTAATTATGTTGCAATCGTTTTTCAGCTCGTTAGATTTTGTGGAATACAGGAATGCATTGCTGAAAAGAATACACATTTAAAGGCGCATCTAAAAACTTAACGTTCAGGAGCAGTTTACATCCTCCTTACGCCATATAAAACCTTTACGCTATTACAGTAGTGGATAAATAAAGAATTACGACTCACACACTAATAAGGTTGAGCTTGTAGGTTCATATAGGTATGTGTTTCGAAAAGAAAAAAGTAAATTCCACCAATTAAATACTAGAATAATATATTGTTTGTGGTCATAAAAATAAAATTGTGTACGTCATACAGAATGTTTCTCCAAAAATGCACATTTCATTTTTTCTTTTAATAAGGAATTTATTTAAAATTTGATTTTTGGAATTTTTAAATAATAGTTCATATTTTAAAATAATTGAGTTTTTTAACTTATTACTTAAGGGGTGTTCTGTGGTAAAGTTCTAATTTTCAAATAAAAATCCTCCTTTTTTGTATACATTTTACATAATTTGATAGATAATTATTTTATAATTATCCATTGTGAAAATTATTTTTGAAAATGTTTGTATACCTAATTCAAAATTTGAATGAGTATAGTTTTCAAGGTATATAATATTATTGTACCTATATAATGTTTTTATTAAGTAGTACAAAAAAATCTCCAGATTTTTAAAATACAGTCTTTAACATATTTAAAAATTCCAAAAATATACAACAGTTATTTTTTAATCATATTGATAACAACTACATTATTTGTAACTAAAATCTGTTTTGAGTTTAGTTAATGTATTAATAGTTTTAGTTAAAATAATATTGCAAAAATAAATTGAATTTATTAGAGCTAAATTATTGTTTTTTTTTTCTTATAATTAAATAAAAAATATTACAATTTAGTATTTACCATACAAAAACAGAAAAATTGCACATCATATTATAATAGTATAGTATCTACATAGTTTAATAATAAACAGGTAATATCATATAATTTTTTAGTAATTTATAAAATCAATGCTGACGTACATTTGATGACATATATTTTTTTTCATTTTTATTTCTTTTTTATTTATATTTTTAATTAAAAATTGTATAATTATATAAAATTAGAAAAAAAGTATAAAACTAAACAAGAATACTTTGAAAAATATACTTTAAATAATACCTGTAAGTACTTTTTACAAGTAGATATTTAAAATATATTGTGTTTGAGCAAATACTTAAAAAAGTATTTGAATATTTGTTATTTAAATACCTACTGTGGCCGTGTTCTCATTTATGTTTTTCACGTTTGTCTACATTTTCGTACCTACATGCTAAAAAATGTGTAGGGAATACAATGCAGGCGTTGTATACAGACGTTTGTTATCATTCTTTATAGAACTACAACTGTTGTGTTTTGAATTAGGTAATAGGAATACGACGTTGCGACAACACACTGATTATGTCATTGTACAATATGCCGCTACCGCCAGCCCACTATGGGCAGTAATAGTTAACATTGTAAAAACGTTTTAAAGTTTTAAACGCTTGTCAGCGCACAATGATTGACATCCTACAATATAATATTGTTGCACTCTAACAATATAAATATTTGTGTGGTTTAATTTCGTGTTTTATATGCAGGCGGCGTAAGTATTACGATTAAATGTATCTATTATCTGGTCAAAGACCTTCAGTCGTGTAATAAAGTACTTTTGGTATTGTATTGATCTATAGTCTACAGTAATTTACACTTTACTTGATATAAATAGGTATACACGTATATTATAAGTTATGAGGTTATGACTATATTTATTGAAAATGATCATAAGATCTGCAATTTTATATCACTCGCGTTATATATATCTACAGTACTCTATTTGTGCTTCTATATATCCATTAGCACTCGGAAACATAATGTTATTGTTACCATTAACTATATTATGATATAAGTATTATATTAAATATATACTATAGGTATAGCACCTATCTACTCATTCAATTATTGTAAATTTGAATCTATATGTTATAATTTAATGTTTATTATAAAATCAACTTCCTGTTCGAGGTCTGTATAAATAATTAAGTAAAAGACTTAATAGTATACATATAAATAAAAAATGTGATTTTGAGTTAATAATTTTAAAATGTATTCATTGCTCCACTCAGAATCAAAATGTTTTCCTTTTTAATTTAAACAGAAATACAATATAATGAATTTGAGCTGTTTTATTTCATAGCAGTTCATCAGCTTGTGTATTGTTATATGTCTATGTATTATAAATGCACATAGCATATTATATTTATGTCAAATATCATAATATATAGTTAAAATATTTACTACATATACTGACTAAGTACAGGTAGACCATGATCTGATCTAATCGAATCTATTTTATTTATGTCTTATTAAGATAGATAGATTTAAGACAAGTAATAATCATAACAATCAAATTAATTTTTGAAAACTCATATTATAAACAGAGAAAATTACTGTTTAAATTGTGATCATTTGTTTAGATAAAGATATAAAATGTGTATACAATATAAATTGGAAAAATATTATAAAAAGTTCCAGCTATTTAGTTGATTTTGCAAAAAGTACCATGTAGATACCTCTATAAGTTTTTAATATTTTTATCTTGCTTATATCATACACGTATTAATAATTAATTTCTGTTTGTTTATATGAGTATGCGTCTTAGGGATGGGGATGCGAAAATGAAGATTTTATTAGAGTTAAATCTTATCATATATCAACTAAATATTGAAAATAGCCCAATAAGTTAATCTGCAGTATATTTAGTTTGATTTAATGCAATAATACGGGTTGATATTTTAACAAGGGTTTAATTATATTATGTTTGTATGTTTATTAAGTATTGATGAATGTAAAATAATACTGTTGTGTTGGGCATTAATCAATAATACCTCTATTCATGAACATTTTTATTATGTTTTAGCAAAATACTGAATGACTATATACAGAGTTTTTAACAACACAAAGTTCAAAGACTGAAGTTGTTTAATATAGAAAAAAATGACTTACGACGACCTATTGGAAAAAATGGGAAATTTTGGGAAGTACCAGAAAAGAATATACTTCTTCTTGTGTCTACCTGCAATATCGTGTGCTTTACATAAACTGGCTGGAGTCTTTATCTTAGCCAAAACTGATCACAGGTAAATAGTTTCAATGATACGTTACACACATGTGACGTATATGACGTATATCATGTATGAATCACGAGTGATCCATTTAAACGTAGAACACTTATTATCACAGAAAACATTAACTTTAAAAGAATTATAAATGCATTTTGTCATTTAAAAAATAAAAAAAAAATAGTAAAATAAAGATATAAGAAAAGTTGAATTAATGTAGTTGAGGAGAATCTAAGGAATATGTGATTAATAAATGATAAGTGGAAATATATAATGCATGGCAGAGATGGATTGCATAATGTCGTATTAGCGGAAAAAACTTTTGACGAGTTGTAAAGACTAGGAAAATAAGAAGACAAAATAGTAGTAATATATTTTATTAGAAATACGTTTTTATTTAGTTACCTTGAAAATATTCTTTTAAAACGTAAATAATTTTTGAAAAGATGAGTGTTTTACGTTAAATTGACCATCTGGCATATTTATAATATTTACAATTAGTAATCTATTTATATATATTTTTTTATATAAGCTAATATTGTTTTCCCGTTATAGATGTCAATTGCCGGGTGAACTCGATAATGCTTCATATGTTTTACCGCCTAACATCATGAACATGTCATATCCATTTGATTATAAGTTGGAACATTTTTCTTCCTGTAAAATATACGATACGAATTTCACTGAAGCGTATTATTCGTCCAATATGCCGGTGAACCATAGTATAAATTGCCATCGGTGGATATACGACAGAGAGACTTATCAAAATACCGCAGTGATGGAGGTGAATTTTTAAGTGCTCATATTCTCTTACAATCGTTTAAAGTGATCAATTTTATTTTTTGGAATAGTTCAACTTAGTCTGCGATAGAGCATGGTACAAAGGTACAGCGGACTCAATGCTTATGGTTGGTGTTATGTTGGGATCGATAATATTTGGATACTTGTCGGACCGGTGAGTTATACTTCAATATCTAACGTTAATCATAATTTTTAACACGAATTCTGTATGTAAAAAAATTGAATATTAAATAGCTATGTTCCTGTACATAGTTATTAGTTACATACCACGATTGGTACCTACTAGTTTAATACTATGTAATTAAATGTGCATTATTTTAGAATACACACTTTGTGAAGGTGAATAATTTATTCGTGTAACTTGAATTTTAAGACACAATAACCCACATATATTTTATAAATAATGATTTATCAAAGTACGCTCACCCTCTTTTTATTTAATAATACATTTATTTAAATTCTGATTTTTGATAGTTTTAAACACACTTAGAGACCATATTTTCATAATCATGAGATTTTTTTGTACTATAATTAAGGAGTATCCTGTGGTGATACTAACTTCTGATTTTCAATTAAGAAACCTCCAATTTTACTGTAAATTATTTAATGAATAGTGGTCTTCTAACTTTTCCTTATCTAATTCAAAATTTTGAATAGTAGTTTTTGAGTTATTTAACGTTGGTGTACAAAGGTTAATACGTCCATGATATTGGATTTAGAAGATATGATTCTATAAGATATAGACGTTATTGTACTTTTATTTTATTGATCTTATTTTAAGCCCGAAAACTAAGGTCATTAGTTATAAATAGAAACAGTAGATATTTTTTGTAGTTTGTTTGTAAGGTTAAAACACGTGTGTGTATGAGTGTACGCCGTATGAGTTCGTCATTAAGAATTAAGTTGGGGATAATGTACATATGCTTTATGTATTATATATATACATTTGGAGATGGGGATTCAAAACTAAATGTATTTAATTATTTTAGATATCTATCATTTTGAAATTACATTTTCTTTAGATTTAATTTTTTCATTATTAAAACCATTTTCTTCTTCAGATTTTGATTTATTTTTTTCTAACAGGTAAACTTGAAATATTTATGTTAATAGACAATAAGTTATGTTTTATATGAAGTTGTTGAAAGTTATTTAAAACAAATTTAAATTAAAAATCTAAAACATATTTATCAACGGTGGTTAACCATAATGCAATTTTTTTTGAATAAATCTGAAAAATATTCATCATCAAATTGATTGGGAGAAAAATATGTCAATGATTTTAAAATATTTTTAATGTGATTATACCTTTTATTAATCTTAGTAATAGTTTTATCTAATATTATATTATAAATTTCATTTATGGATATATCTTGTGGTATATTTGATCTTTCATTTTTTTAAAGTTCTCTATCCGTTTTTTTATTTAACTGGTTCGTTTAGATTTCCATGTCTGTTCATCTAATTCATACTTTATACAAAACAAATTACATTCATTAAAAAAAACATGTTGATAATTTATCTTTTTCCATACTTCTTAAGAGACTTAATTTATTTTTTGTTGCATTAATTTATCTTATAGCTTATGGCATACAGTATAATACAAGTGTGGTTATCTAAATTACGCAATACTAAAAGTATAATTATACAGGGTTAATTCAAAAGATTCTGTATCATTGAAAGTTGAAATTGTTTTTTTTTTTTGTTTAATTTACGTTGAAGTTCTTTGGTTTTATTTTTGAACGTTTATAAATCATGTTAATAGCATGATAATTAATTTAAACATATTATAGCAAACATTATAATTTATAATACTTTAATATATTAATGGTGAAATAAAAGTATAATTATTGTAATGTTTTTTAAAAACAAATGATTCTAAGAGTAAAAAATAAATATATTAGATAGGTAGCTTGGCAGGTATTAAGTATTATAATTTCAATACTTACTTACAAGTTATAACTCACACTTACCACCTGAAGTTGAAGAAAATTCACTAGGTATAATATCCTCATAGATTTTAATTTTTTTCGGTGCCGATAAGAAAAATTTAATGGATAAATTGGATTGTTTTGTTTTCATTATTGAATAATAATCCAGATGTCTTTGACAATTTTTTAAATTTATATTTCCTCGATTATACGCGAAACTTTATTTATTCTTGTGTTTTGGTTGATTTATAACAATAAAAATATCAAATCTAATGATAGAAACAGTATTGAGATAATATATCTTTACATTTTGTTAGTTGTTACAAAATATCTCAACTTTCAAGATAAATAATAAGATATAGCTATTTAAAAAAATTTCAATATTCTTAACTATGACAACCCAACTATACCTACGCTGAATTTAGACTGGAGTAAAGCCCCAGTCTTTTGTATGTTTAAGTCACCTCTGCTTAGATGTATTAGTATATATCATAAATATTAATAAAACTGGAAAATTTATTTATTTTTTATTGTACTTTAATAAAATAATATTAAAAATTAAGATGCTTATAAATATATGGATAAATCGGTGTTTAATATTATAAACAAATGTTTTGAGCTACGTATTTGTACATTTTTATCGAACCTAAACGAGTATTTTTTTTTAGGTAAGTAATAAAATATGTAGGTATTTAAATATAGCTGTTATCTTTAGACCTTTTTAAGTGATCAATATACAGACACTGAGACACTAATAATTATATAATATTATTATAGATAAAGTCTATTTAGATTATTTATTGCAATAAAAATTGTATTTATATGCCATAAAATATTATAATATAATATTAGAGTTGGTTAAATTTTTATCTAAATAATTCAAACACATTCTTAAGTAATTATATATTATACAAGTACATAATATGTTATGTATTTGAATGTATTTAAAAAAAATAATTTTAAATATTTTTTTCTATTACATAATATATTTAATCTAATAAAATACCTGAAAGATATTCCAATGATTATAAAAATTCATTTTTTTTAAAATAACACCTTAATCTGGATAATTCATCATAATTTGTAATACTATTATCAGCCGCCTATACGTTTAATAATTTTTTTTGATCAAGTCTTAAACTTTTATTGTTGTCAGGATCGGAAGAAAAAATATTTTTATGATATCTCTTTGGCTGCAGGGAATCGTCGGTTGCGGTATGGCATTTGCCCAAGAATATTGGAGCTTTACACTTCTCAGAGTATTGGTTGGAGCATCTACTTCAGGGCTATACCTAGCAAGCTATGTCATCGGTAAACCGTCTACTATAACTAAGCTTTTACTTTTTAGCTATATTTAGATATCAATATTCAATACGAAACTAAAACATTGTTAAATACTCAAAAATGAACACTGCACACGCCACACGGCTATGTTAATAATAATATTGACTTTAATGGACTCACTTTAATAGAATGTGTATTTAAATATAGGTTCTTAGAACGTAAGATTTTACCGTTTCAAATATTTTAAAAGTTCAATTATTGTTCACAGGCTTGGAATTTGTCAGCCCTAAATACCGAATGGTGGTTGGCGTTGTTATACAAATGTTCTTTTCTGTCGGTTTTCTTTTAACGTCCGCATTTGCATATATTTTCCACAATAATTGGAGATACTTTCAGCTGGCTATAACTATACCGACTCTGTTATACACGCCCTATTATTGGTTAGTAATGCACGCATTGGTTTCATAACCAGTAAAATTTTTATAAAACTAATTTTTAACTTTTAAGGTTTATACCAGAATCTGTGCGATGGCTATTGACCAACGGTAAACTGGAGAGAGCCGTAAAAATTCTACATAAGGTGTGCAGGGTGAACGGTGTGGACATTTCAGATAAAGACATTATTGAAATATTGGAGTGCGATTTTGAGAAAAAGCCTTTAGTACAGACCGATGCTCAACCAAATACATCGTTTTTTGATTTATTCAAACACCCAGTGATTTTGAAGAGATCTATCATTATAATGCTATTGTGGTATTTATAGTTGAAATTAATTAATTAAATTGATAATATATAAATTAATTAACCTATAAACTTATACGATTTACAGTCTAGAGTGTTATAAATTAGATAATATGAAGATGATTTATTTGAAATTTCTCATTGTATTATGGGTATTATTTATTATGATTTATTATATAACATAAATATGTTTGATAAATAATTTATTAAAATTAAAATTTCAAATCGATTGAAATGTGATGAAATAAAAAATTTACAAAAATATTTGCAAGAAATTAATAATCAAAACTAATAACAAAAATATTTTAAAAAACATTCTTATGTAAAGTATGTATTTGTCATCATTATAAATATTTTTATAGGATATATGTACCCAAATATTTCTTGATATTAGATTAGCAGATAGCAATTGAATACTTTGAAATTCTTTTTTTTTTTTGAATGAGTCACAACAACACAGATTATTGACTTTTGAAATTCTTCAAATAACATTTAATAGTGAATGTTTATTAAACATAATATATTATATACAATTCGAAATATGAATAAAGAGCTAAGTTTGTAGGAATTATAATTTTTCACTCATAAACTATGCACTTGTTTATGTTTATAAGTGTAACTTATTTCAAAATGATTAAAATAACTATATGTGTGTCTTTCATCTGTGATTAAAGGTATATTTAATTATAGTTGAAATAACATTTTAGTTAAATAAAAAAAGAATTGAAAAATTTAGATAGCATGACAAAATAATTTTAATTTGATTGAATACTGTTGTATATTTATATATATGACGTAATTCTTCTGTTATAAATATAATTTAGTTTGGTAAAATCATTTTTTGGTTACATTTAAAGCAGCAAAGTCAGTATACAATTATAATAAAACATTAATATAATACATTTGAAAAAAAAAAAATATTAATGTAATTAAATATTATTTTCATTTTTTTTTTAGGTTTGTAAACAGCACTGCTTATTATGGTTTGTCTTGGAGTACTTCCAATCTTGGAGGAAATCAATATTTGGTGTTCAATTTAGCCGGTTTAGTAGAGTTTCCAGCTTATACGTTTTTGTTATTGACCCTCAACAAATGGGGAAGGAAGATAAATATATCTGGGTTCCTAATATTAGCCGGATTAGCACTTCTATTAACATTAGCTGTACCCAAAAGTAAATGATTTTTCTAGTTTATATATGATTATGAACGAAATTGTTATTAATAGTTCAATGTGATACTTAAATGACTTGTTTTTTTTTTTATTATTTCATCAAACTAACTAATTATCGTTAATTCTTGAATATGTAATGTTAGATGATTTGTTCTATTAACTTAAAATAATTTACAAATAGACGGTATTTATTTCTAGCGAATACGTGGTTGATTATATTCTTTGCGATGTTGGCGAAACTGGCCATAACTGCTTCATATGGAGCCGTGTACGTCTATACCGCAGAACAGTTCCCGACCGTAGTGCGGAGTATGGGCTTAGGGGTAGGATCATTTTTCGCTAGGATCGGAGGAATTGTGGCGCCATACATCAATAACACGGTAAGGAGGTGCATTAAAGTGCATTTATAAAGCATGCCGTTTATGAATTGCATAGTACAATATAATAACAATCTTTTAGAGGGTTACTAATTTCGGTTAAATTTTTAGACTGAAATTTGGGTTAACACGCCGTTGATTGTATACGGCGGTCTAGCATTGTTCGTCGGTACTTGGTCGCTTGTATTACCCGAGACGCTTAATAGAAAACTGCCGGACACCATCGAAGATCTCATTGCTATGTCAGAAAAGTGAGTGCATTTAAAAACATTTTACAGAATAAACGTACTTTATCGATTTTAACTTTCTATAAAAGTCTGCAACGAAAATTGAAATGTAAAAAAAAATCAATCGAATTCGTTGAGCGAGATTTATTTTTAACCTTTTTTGAATTGTATGACAATAAAACATGGCGTTCCATAATAGTTTCTCAATAAATACTCGATAAAATATCTTTTAAAATTGCAAATAGTTTTTTTCAAAGAAAAAAAACGCATTTATATTTTATGTATTACATACTAAGTTATATATCTTTGGTAAAATCATGTTTATCCATACTCAATTTACTTTTAGTTATTCTAATTAATTCAAATATGAAAATTTAATCGAATTTCGAAATGTATATCTAATTCAAATTTTTTTCATACAATAATTCAGTATATTATGTCGATTGAGCAATATTCGTTCTGTAATATTTTTAATATATAAAAATATGCCTTGTTGTAAGTTATGAGTTACAACGTTATAGGATGTGTTTATATACAAAATATATTTCAATAGTTAGTATAATATTGTGTTTCTAAGGAGAAATTTCAAGAATCAACCATTATTGAACGATAAATGAGGACTGCATTCTCGTATAATATTATAGTAGACATTCTATAACCGTATTTTATAAACGAATTCCTTGTTTTAATGCTAAAAAAAAACTAAAGTAAAAAAAAATTATACATATGTAATATGTATCTGTAGTCTTATACATACTTATTAGTAATTTTAACGTATGAAAATAATATTTTCTTAAGATAAAACACTTCTTGACATATGACAGATAACGTTTGATGTTTAATTATAAACCTATATGGCTGTATCTTATTTATTTGGTAAACATTATATAACTAAATTATTTGTATAATCGTGTTGTAATCATGTATGTTTCCAATTTTTCTGTCGTTTATTGAAAAATCCAATTATTGTCAAAACTAAAAATTCGATATTAGAATAGGAAAAAAATAATTCAATTTTAGGATTTATTTAGAGTAAATGATTGTTGACTTAAACTTCAGTATCTCAAATAATTAAAGTAAAAAAAACAACAACACGAATAATGCAATAGACGAAACATATTTTAATACATATTTTAAACATATTTAATTCATAGTAAATTTGATTTATTTTACACCAATTACAGTATATTGACATTAAAATACAGTATAATTATAGATTAATATAATATGTTTATTTATACTAATTAATTTTTTTCAAGGAAATATAAGCCAGTTCTTACGGATGAACCTATGACTAATGGTGACGCGAACAAGGATAAAGACAAGTATTAAAGTAGGTATTATATTATTATGTAGGTAACATTGATATTTTGTATTTTTCCACTATGAATACTAGTTACATGTTTTGTAATAATATGTATTAATGTTTCGACTGCTATATTTTTTATGACTACTTATTATTAATACGAAAACTTAAACATTGTTGTTTGTGCCCATTTTTTACTACCCACCAATGTTTTTTATAACATTTTGAGTGAATTATAAACAATAATAATAATATTAATGTTATAAGTGGTATTTTTTTTTCATTACGACTATTTTAATTTAGTATTTAGTGCAAACGATAATAAATCTGTCGAAAAAAAATAGATGACCTCTGCTGGACTGTGTTGTATTCATAGAAACACACATATATATGTATATCTAGTTACAAGTGATTTAGTTCGTAATCGAATTTGTGCTGTTTGTGATGCTCAATCGTATCTATGCTATAGAATGCGCGAAACTGATATCAAAAATATAATATGGCCATAATGCTTGAATGGTAAAAATAAAAAATGGGAGTGACTCTTAGATTTGAAAAATATTGATATCTCTAGAAATTTGTAAAGTTCCCCCACATCCCTTCAGCCATAAATTCCCTAACAAAATATACTCAATAATATACTTTTATTAGTATATCAGCAGTAACAATCCCTTATGAAAGAATAAAATAAATATTTTTGAATATTTATTTTTACTCACATAAAAATAATTATAACTTTTAAATGTATGTTTTTTTAATTAAATTCATATATATATATATGGATACTGGACCCCACTGAGAAAACTCGTGTGAGAGCCCAAAAATAATTTAAACATTTTTAAATAACGTTTTAATTATATTGTATAGCTGTAATGCAGTATCATGATAATAACTAGTTGTGTAATTCATTATATTACATTTTATTCGATACAATTTCGAAAATAAAAATTACAAAAATAGTTTATATAAAAAAAATTATACTCTTTTACAAATTATGTACTCTAATTCTTATGAAAATAATTAATAGATATATTTTAAAAATATTAGAGAAGTTACTTGAGATCGTACCCTTGAGTCTTCCCTTAATTCGAGCGCTAAATACAGTTAAGCCTGATGATTATACACTATTTTATTATAACTTTTGACGTAGATACTATTTAAATGTGTAAGAAGTGTATTCTTAATATATATATAATATATTATAAGATATTCTTGATATCTAAAAAACAAATGTACTAAAATATTCTTAACAGGTATCAAAATTAAATTTAACTTTGTTAGTGCAGACATATATTGCTGTTTAGGGTTTAATGAAAATTATTTATATTTTTACTTAATTAAATTTTTCATAAAATCAAATTTATTGGATTTTATCGATTTATTTTATACGTTGAAATAATTTGGATGAAACGTATTTTTACAATATAACCGAATTAGTATTTTATATAAACATTGTATATCATTGTTCCTATTAAAATAATCCAGTGTTAATACTTTATAACACTCATAATAAATCAAATGACTCAAAATTATTTTTAGACGAAGAAGTTAATTTAAAATTTTTTTATTGCATTAATTATTTGAATATAAATATAAATAATTATATCAATGAGTTAATAATTGCCAAATATTATGTTATTTTGTATTTTATAAATTGACCGCAAGTACAGTCAAACATTACTTCTTTAGCAATTACAATAATAAAGAGTAGTATAATATACTTTTTTTTCCAGTTATATGATTACACAATGAATTTTAAAGTAATTTTAAGTAATTGTATAGAATTTATTGTGATTGTAATAATATCAAGTAGGTACGTTATATGTACTATGCAGTTATAATAATTGTGTATGTGTATGTGTATTATTATATATATTTTCGAGTATTGTACTTTGTAACAAAGAAATTTCAAGAATAAACAATTAAATACATCAATTTTAAAACCAATATAAACATTTTTTTACCAAATAAATATCAATACTCAAAAATATGTAAATGCAGTGTTAACTGAAGAAATTAACTAAGCAAATAATTATTAAGTTCATAAGTTTTATGAAGGTATACTTAAACTTATTTTTTCAAAACTAGGTAAATTTATTCATTTGTTTAACTTAATAAAGTTATAATAATTATGTCTAACCAGGCTCGGACTGGGAGGAAATCGGCTTATTATTTTCAGTAAACAGGCGGCCTATATATAAAATATAAAAAAAGACATTTTTTTTTTTGCTCATTAAATGTAAAAATTCAAGTATTTTACTAGAAAATGGAAGGCCTACGGCCTAACTGTGCTGTAGAGCTGTAATAACCTAACCTGGCCTGTAGTCTAACATCAAATTTTATTTACTCATAATTTTTAACTGTATGACATATTATATTTTAGGCGATATAATATAAGCGTGCAAATGTTATCACTTTACGTACCTAGCCTGACTTATTTCATTATTTTATATAAATTTTTCAGTTGTCTGTTAAAATAATTTCTTTATTTTTTATTTTTAAAGTTAGATAAAACCAATATAATATATTATTCGTACGTTTCAAGTATATGTTTATATCCCTTTTCTTAAAACTAATGTCTAGAAATCAATGTAATAATTGTATGTACCTAAACCAAGTATCTGTTTCAGAAGTATATGACAGTTGAAATTATAGCTATAAAACAGCAAACTAAAGTCTATAGTTGTTTTGCGGTACATTACGTGTTAAATATATATATAAATAAAAAGTAATAGGATTTTATTAGACTGTTGCATAGGTACCTATAATAATAAAATATATACCTATAATAAGTATATTGTATATAGTTAAACATATTTAATTTTTACACAGATAGAAATTTATTATGTCTGTTTTGATTTACATGGTAGTAGGTATGTTTAAAAAATGCACGGAAATATCTGTGTAATGTTGTAATACACCCACTATTGGAATTCACTGGAGTACATATATTGTATCAAAAATGTTCGACCTTCAGGTCGCATAATTTATCGACTGAACAAAATAATGGTTTTTAGATTTTACTGGAATAAGAAAACCTTGTGCTATGTTTCATTGACTATATTATCTTGACGTAAATTTATATTGAACATTTAAATATTTATAAATATATAGTAAAAAAAATTAACTGTTCACTAGAAAACGAATTAAGATATGCTTAAATAAGTTAATCACCCTGTCTTGAATTTACCTTATAATACAAGAGTAATGCGTCTGCATTAATTTGATACACGACGGAAAGTATACTTAAAAGCACAATAATTTCAATTTTGATATTGTATCTTATTATTTTATAATTCATTTAACCATCCCATTATTATTATTATTATTTTAAAATTAAATATATTAAATATATTTAATAGTACACCATTTAAATGTATCTAAATCATATTTACTGAAAATGAAAATACTAGTTGTAGGCTATTAAATATTAATGTACTTACACGAAGTTTAACATTGTTATATGTAGATATTAATATTAGATATAAACGTAAGTATTGAAAAAAAAAAAATCAAAAATTAATAAAAATTGTTAGGTTTTTATTTTGAAACGGATTTGAATTAAAAATAATTTTTGATAAATAAAAAAATTTTAAATGCATAATTAAGATGAATCACGACCCGGATATGTATTTATTTGTATCACATGTTTCACAAAAGAATAACCATCATTGAACTAACTATTAAAAATGATACTTATCATTTTATTAATCTAATCGTATAAGGTATCCGTTCAAATAAAACTTTACCCACATATTGATATCTTTCCATTAAAAATAATATATTTTTTAAAAATCTACCAAGTAGTTTTGATTATGTTAGTTTTTAACTCTAGAATAATTATTTTACTTAAAAATATTTTAAAACACACATAGGCATAACATATAATATTTGGGCTTCAAAAATCAAACAGGTTTATAATATCATTAAAGCGCTTACTTAATATGCGTGTGTGGTTATTATAGATTGTTTGCTTTTGTTTCTTTAATAAAATTGTGTAGAGTGAGACTTTTGTTATCGTAATACAATTGTTCAGCAATAATCTAAAAACTATAGGCACTACTAATTACTATTATCCGATAGTAAAATAAAAAAGATGTTTATAAACTTAATAACAACAATAATTAATAATCATAAAATAATGGTTTTACGGTAGCTTTGTAGTAATAATAAGTATACTAGAAAATCTAACGTATTTTTTTAAAATACAGCATGCTTGGAAACAAGTAATATTTGAACGTACATAATTTTATATCGATGCGCTTAACCACGTGTTCAATAAACTTATTAATATAAGATAAATATCATGGTCTACTATAGAATGACAAACCATCATGTGGTGATAAAGTGTACGTTAATATTTTATAATTCTATACCACAAACGTGTAAAAATAAGCACCTAAAATATTTACGACCATAACGAAACAATTATGCTTAATTACATGTTTATAAATTCTCCTTAAACACAAGTGTGAGATCAAATTATATATATGTTCATACATAATAATACATAGACTAGCATTTTAATCACAGCGTTTATCATTTAAAATCTTCAAATTCATTGTGGGCTCATTGGCAAGCTCGAAAAGAAGGTTATTATTTATTATTATCATTTCCAACAAATTTGACGTCTAGCATAATACTGCTCTTGGACGTAGTTCGTGGAAGTTTGTACCAGCTGGGCGGCATGTACTTTAGACTCTCTTGCCTGGTTGGTGGGAATTTTGTTTCTAGCGCTTTTGTCTCTTCGGTCTTGTGACTGGAAGTGGATCCTTGCCGTATCATCTTCTTGTGGTCTGGGTCGACTACAACGATTACCTCTTCCACACATTCATCTTCGGAGCTCGAAATGTTCCTGAGACCGATGTCGCACTTGTTGGAATGTGACTGATTCCTCCAGCTCTTTTTCATACCGTAATCCCGCTCCAATTTCCTGGTCTTCTTCTTCGACATCAGCTTCGTTAATTCATTTTTGAACCTAGGGTGTGTGATGGCATATATCCAAGGGTCCATGCAGCTGGCTGCTTTGCAGAACAGCGCCGGAATCATCGAATTTAGCGGAGTGATGTATTCTTTCTGATTGAATACACCCAATAAGGCTACCATAGCATATGGTGTCCACGATATGAACCACAGCATGATAACTCCTACCACCACATACCCAAGTCTTATTTCTGTCTTCCTCTTTTCCTCCTCCTGGCCGTACCGGCTAGCAGCCATTTCACTAGTCACCCAAACCGCCCTCAGTATTTTTACGTAACAGTACGATATCGTGGTGAACGGTATGCACCACGCCGCTGTAAAGAACACCAGGATGAACCCTTTTTCTTGGTTATCGTCCGTCAGATAGTCAAAGCTACAACTAGTTAAGTATCCTTCTGGTACATATCGGTTGTATCCCAGGTCCATTACCGGTATGATAGAGAACATGAACCCGTACATCCAAATCAGGCCTATCCACACCCTGGCCCGCTGTTTGGTAGTTTTAACGGCCGCGTTAAGAGGGTGCACTATGACATAATATCGGTCCAACGATATGGCAGCTAACGTCATGATGGATACAGTTCCTGTTAAACCACCAAAAAATCCATAGATCTGACAGCCTACAAAGGCAAAATCCAAAAACGTAATTTAGATATAATACTAATATCGTGTCGTTATAAATACAGTAGAAATTGGTTATAATGATAAATTAGGTTTAATAACGGTAAATTGATAGTCATAGCAAAACTTTTATTTTTATAGATTATTATGACATCTATATAATGACTACGCAGATATTATAACAGTTATTTTTAATTATCTTGGAAAAATATTGTATCTATGTTGACAGGATTACTTTTATCGTTGTTTCATAATTTTTCCGTCAGTGAATTTCATGTACTCGATCGCAATTAACGTGTGAAATTCACATATGTTAAAATTATATGGTTATAAATAACGTAAATCGAAAAACACATTATGAAAAACTAGAAAAAAAAAATACAGTATTTATGATTTTTTTTTTTTTTTTTAAAAGAAGTGTTGGTGAGGTTACATATTTGTTGATATGTAATTATTATAATTTAAATACATTTAATTTTACTTATTACCATATTTAGTGATAAAAATACAACAAACAATATTATATTCACATTATAAATAATAAATAATAATTTTTTTAAATTTTTGCTTTTGTATTGACTTATGAATATCATAGTAAACAGTTTCTACTGAACATATTTTAATTTTACATTGTCTTACCCAATTTTCCTAGCGTAGGGCCCTGGTAATAACTGTTGTAGATGAAAACTGGTGTTTTAGCTAGCATAATGAAATCGCTGACCGCCAAATTCATAATCAACACGTTGGCTGGCGTTTGCAACGATTTACATCTGAAAAATAACATTGGTTTGGATCGTGTTATAATAGTGCACAATTTGTTTGTGTGTATATTTGGCAATATTATATTTTTTATAGGCCTAATATACTGTGTAGGTATTATATAGTGTAGCTTATAACTAACTTGATGTACATGAAAATCACTAGTGAGTTCCCGAAACAACCGAGTACCATGATGACGGTGTACAGTAATCCGAGAATGTAGTGTGACGTAGCATTGGGTGGCTCAAATTTAAACCAATGATTGTTGATTAACTTTATATAATCGTCCTTGTAGAACCTATGTTCTTTCCACTTGTTGATTGAATATTTACTTTTGAAGTCCGACATGACTACGATCTCGTTTGTGTGATTCAAGGTGTTGATATTGGGCGTTTTTTGCACAGGGTCGCTCAGCCGTTTATCGTGTTTTGGCCAAATCGTTACGTTAGAGTATTTCAAGTTGTGTTTTTGTGCAGATTTCGAATGTTTTGTAAAATTGAGTGGCAATTTAGTTGTAACAGCAACGAATTTCGAGGGTTTTAGTTTTGCGGTGGTTGTGAGGTTTGTTTTGGCAGGGTTAGTGCTGGTTAGGTTTGTCGTGGTTAAGTTTCTATTCAAAACAGTTGCTAATCGTTTCGAAACATTTTTTAATACTGTTGTATTATGGACTGTTACACTGTTATTACTATTTGATTTGAAGCCCCAATCACGTGTTGGGTTTGAAATTTGGATTTGTTGCCACAATATAGACGGATTTTTATTATTGATACTTGAAGGAAATTTGACGGTTGTCAGAAAATTAGTTTCAGTTTTAACAATACTTTTACAAAAAGTAAACGTATTAAAGATAAAAAAAAATAAGCATATGAAAATGCGTAGAATTAATACCATGGTTTAAACTTGTAACCTTGTAGCTTCACATGTATGTATGCATATTTACTGAAAATAAATAAAAATCATAAAATTAGTAAATCAGTTTAACAACGAAAATTTGAATGATATAATATAATTTTCGTGTCATTATACTAATAAAATAAAAGATTTAAAAGTAAAATAAGCCATAACATTTTTTTTTAAAGCGGTATTATTATTTTCAATCTTAAATAAAATATAGTTATTAAAGCTAAATATACCTATGTTGTAAACAATTTAAAAATGCAAAAAATGAAATAAATATTAATTAAGCGATTTATTTCGATTTGAAAATAAAAATATATTTAAAAATCTGTCTATCAATATTGAATATAAATTCATAGTTCAAATAGTTATATTAATTTATACAAAAATTATTGATTTAAAATTTGAGTATAATAATAATATATTACAGTATGCCCAATACGTAACTATTGTCTTAGTGCCATGACGAGAGCACACAAAAAGTAAAAACTACGGCTTTATAACTTATTATGTAATAGTGTTATTATACTTATTATACAATATATACAATATTACCGAGTGTTACGTTAGATTATCAGAGAAAACAAAAAAATGTCGAAACAAATCCGCCTTTGTAGAAAGTTTATTTCAAATTATGTATGTATCTACTTACCTAAGATTTGGGTACTTCAAATTGTTTAAAACTTACTTTACTATTGTGTATATAGTATGTATGTGTATTATACTATAATGATTATAGTATTATACGGTTGAGAAACTAAACAAACACAACCAACCTTCATCGGTGCTTAACATTGTATCTGAAGGGGACACATCCGAAATTACTTTTCTAGCTCCACGTAACCACGTTTTGTGAAATGTGGTGAGCAACACTGAAATCCAATATAAATCTATCCATAACATATATATGAGCACTTTGAGTTTGATGCAAACTGTAAGTATTTTGTAAAAGTATATAAAAGTATATAACATAAAACTTTTATCGAAGTAGTTATATTGTACCTGTAATATTCATGCAACATGTAGGTGCTATTAAGCACTAAGAAAAATAAATAGTAGCAATACAAAATATTTCTTATTGTATTGCAATCAAAGTTATCATAGACAGGAATACTAAACCAAATGCCCAACATTGCATGGAATTGGAGTGGTTTTTTCAGCTTTCATCAATTAGTTAATTATATGATTTTATAGGAAATATCACGAATAAAGAAGAGTTTAGAAGAAAGAAATCTTATATAATTATATATGAGTATTGGATTTATTGAGTATAATTATAAGATTCGTTATGATAAGGAATCCAGGAATCCAGAATTTTATCAATCTTAAAGTAACGTTTTTTTAAATAACGTTTATTAATTTTTTTGTAAATGGTTTTTTCATGTTAAAGGACCGACTTAATAGATATTAACAGTGTTGTATCTCAGCTAAAATTTGTTTACGCATAAGCATAACTAAAATTTTTTGAATTTTTTCATACTTTCTTAGAGTAAGGAAAAATTTGCTTACAACGAAAGTCAATATAACTATCCCTATTATCCCTATTGTGGAACAAAATATTGATTATGGAATAATACTATTTATTACTATTCAGTATTTCTATAATATATTTTAAATAAATAAATATTATTAAATAAATACTTTTCATTCAAACCCCCTGTCTAAATTGTATTCTTTAATCACTTGTGCTTATTGTAAATTATTATTTTACAGATTGTACAATTTTCTAGTTTAAAAAAAAATAAAAAAAAAAATAAAAAAATTTGAATGTATGTAAAGATGCTTTTTAAAACATGAAAAAATGTCATTAAAACCAAAAAATCTATAAAAATAAAATTAAGAAATAGGAATATCCATACAAAAAGGCGAGAATCAATAATTTGTTGCAAGACTAACATTGTACTATAGCGACCACTAAGAAAAATGCAATTTGCATTCAAATCTCGATTCTATTTGTCAGTTGTTACAAAATTGATTTTTTTCATTCTCCTTTCCGAGTTTTTATTTGTAGGTACTATTTTAAACTAATTAGTTTTTACTTATATTATTTATTTTTCAATAATCGGAAACAAGAATATGTTTTTTTATTTTATATCATTTTGAACGAGAGAAAGATATCTATTTTGATGAAAATAGACTAAGTTTGGATACATGAATTTTTTTCTATTAGTATATCAACCTATTCACCACAGTTCGTTCATATAGCCGATATTATTGTACCTATCTTTAACTGGTGGAATTTTTCTGTTGATATTAAATTAAATAAACACTACTAATATTAGTGACGGCGTAGACAGATATATTATAATAAAATTAAAGCCGTTAGTTTTATGTACCTATTGTTCACAACATCATAACTATAATTATGGCAGTTGACTCTGCAGAATAAGTAATTTTTAACTTTAATTATTTTCAAAGGTACTCAACAAGTAAATTTAATTTTATCCAGTAAGGAAAACGTTTTAAGCTGTTTAAAAAAGTTTTTATCTAACCATTTAAATCATTAATGCATACAACATGCTTAAATGCATAATAGATTATTATGGCGATGTAAAAATCATATTAATATTAATACTTAAAGAAATTTTGTATTTCAATGAAGTTATTTGTATTTTTAAGTTTATTGAAATATAATCTTATTGTTCTAAGTTAACTTTTATATTTTTTTATATTTTTCATTTAATATTTCAATTATTGATATAAATGTTTAATTGAAACTTTTAAATAATTTATTTAGTATATTACTAAATACCTGCCAAAGTAAATAATATCAAATATAATATAACGAAAAAAAAACATAATTATAAAATTAATTTTTCTGTTAAAATGTAATAGGTATATCGAAGATTTTATTCTTGAAATTGTGTATTCTCTTAAATATTATCAGTTGATCCCAATACATTGTAATACTTAATAATCATTCGATTTGATAATTGTGGGAAAACTCGGTTGAGTCTCGAGATATTTGATCCCTTAAAAAAAACACGAGTTGGGTCCGCGGTATTATTTTATAATACTCGAATTGGGTCCGCGGTAATATATATATATATATATTATTATTATATTATTAAATAATAATGTCATATCTTATCTTAATAAGACGTAAAATACAACATAATCGGACCGTTGTCGCCGGATAACTTATTGTAACTTGCCAGTATACTGGCACGTGTAAACGCTAGAAGTGTCCATCTCATAAAATATAAAATAAAATAAGTATAATGTCTTGTAGTGTTATTTTTTAAGAGAAAAGATGCTTTCTTTTACTAGTGGAGAATTGATGCAGTTCAATTTTATAAAAGAAGTGCCATTTAAGTGTATTCTCTAGCTTATATTTATTTTAGTACAAATATTTATTATTTATTTTTTATTTTTTAAAATTAATCTAATTACTTAATAATAATTTTAATATTTTAATAATTTTTACATCAGACCTTAACATAAAAAAAAAATAAAATTTTTGGGAGACATTCTCGTCTCCATGTGGTGTCTCCTGAGTAACGCAAATAGGCTAGTCCCAACTCATGTACTTTATAAAATATACCGGGACCCAACTCATGCGGTTTTTGAAATCTGGAACCCAACTCGAGTTTGTCCATAATTGTATACCTGGAGTGTTTTTTCAAAATATATTTCAAACGTATTTATCCATGTCTAATTATTTAAAAAAACTGGGTAACTCACTTGGCTGGATTGTAGGGTCTGATCGTACTTTAAATATTGTTAAAATTACTGTTTAACTTCAAATGTTTAAAAAAAAAACAAATGTACCTGCATATTTAAATTTTCAAAAAAATAACTCGTATGGAATAATACATTTTAAGATCTTTGAATAAATATACATTTTTTATCAAGATTTACAAGAAAAAAATAAATTGTAAATGACTATAAATAGCTTACAACTATTATAGTCTTGATATTTTTATCATTTTATTGTGTAAAAAATATAATAATTCAACTAATAGGTAATAGTAAAATTTTCCGACGTTCAGGTTAATATGTTTTTAAAATACAACAAAATAACATATTATTTAAAGATAAATCATTAACATTGCAAACCTATTATTGGAATCGTGAGGTTGAATTACACCATTTCAGTTACTGCCAACGGTTAAAATTATAATTGAGTTACATAACTGAACAGAAAAAAAAAAATTTACAAAATACTAATCGAGTAACAGTTTAATCAAAAAACATACTAATTAAGCCTATGGTTGATAAACAAAAACACACATTAATTGAATCCGCATTTGAAAAAAGTAAAACATCAATATAAATACGCATAATACGGAAAAGAAAACGTGATACCATCTTTATCATTAATATGACTTTAATAGGATAAAAATTAAAATTGTACAAATAAAAATGAAAAATACTCTTAAAATTATCAAGATAAATTATTTTAATACAAAAATAATAAATAGATTATAGAAAAACGCAGCTGTCATTTATTCAGCATAATAACAATATTTGAATACCTATGTATAAAGTTCATCAATTATTGTATAAGTTTTTATCGATATAAAACATTCGTTTTAATTATTATATTTACTAATTATTTTGAACAACCTCATCGTATATGATAGGCACATACATCAAATTTTCTTTAAAATGAATGTAAAAATAAAAACATATTTAACCAAAATCTGAAAATTCTATTGTTATAGAAAATCCTAAGGCTGTAAAAATGGGATTGAAGATGTTTGTTTTCATGTTTGATGGGGTTTGGTCAGTATTAAAACGTGAATTTAATTAGCATTATGTTTTGAATTGTATATTGTTTTTTATCTTCTACTTCTACTGATATTTTTGATATAGGTATTTTATAAACTATTTAGTATTTTCTATTCCTCTTATAATAATAGAAAAATATCAGATTTTTCTGATTAAAGTTTCGCAAATTTTATTAAAAATTATAGCAGATATCACTCACACGTCTAACAAAACTACATTTGAATGAGCCAAGGAATAGCAATGAACCAAAAAAAATAATATAAACTTACTTCAGTAAATAATTTATTATTATATTATTGAAGACATTAAAGAACGCCAAGCAGAAATTAAGTTAAAGCTATAATCGAAAAATTACTACTTCAAAGTTATTTCCAATATTAAAACATCAAATATATACACTGGAAATAAAAAGTCCTAATTGTATTACTTAAAAATTATGGACTTCAAATTACAAGTTCAATTTTAAGATATTCATTTTATAATAATAATAGGTACTATAAAAATTCAATTAATAATGCTTAATTGTAATTTTAAAATAATTAATTTTATTTCAGTAATTATTTGCACTTATAGGATGTTTATTTTTGCTCTTTAAGAAGATTGCTTCGGTCATATTTTGCGCATACTAGCAACAGACTAATATATTCTTATGCAGATTTGATTTATCCTATTTAGTTGTATGAATACGATGATGCTGTATTGCTACTGTGTATATGAAAAATTACGATTTAACATTTGGTACATCATCGCTAACATTAATAAATTTACATTTATTTCAAATGACACAACACAATAATTTTAAGAATATAGGTACATTACATATCACTTTAATATTAAATACTTGTTGTCATATAATGTATAACATGGAAAATACAATAAAATGCAAAGATATATATGTACCAAAGTGAAATATGAATGCCGGCCAGTTCTATGAATAGTATAGGAACCTATACGTGTTGTTAAGCGTTTCTATGGTTCAACGATATAATTAAAGAAGTAAATCGCACACACTTTAAAAACTCTAATGTAAAAAAAAATTAACCTGCAAGTACTAAATTAATATTATAGACGAATTTAGATATTTTACAGATAAAACAGGAGCAGCGCTACTTAAACTTTCACAGGGTCTGGAAAAAAT